AAACTGAGAGTAAACTACATGAGAAGCTAGGAGATTTTTGCCATTTCAGGGCATTTTGAGGTGTTTCTTCATCTGTAATTGGCGGTGTCACACACGATAAGGAATATCTGGCCACTTTGCAATGTATTCGGATCGTGTGTCACGTTAATTTGTCCTGACAGGTCCTTTACGTTTCTCCGTTTCTGCCTCAAGTGACGAATATCAGGTGACGGTAACTTAGTACTGTAACACCGTGTTCAGCACTAAGGACAGTAACACCGTGTGTTGCGTAAACGTTTCAATGCGTTACTGCATTGTTAAACACATGTACATTGTAGTTTATTTTCATGGCATTTCTATTTTTGCATAGTAGTGATAGAAGTGTTAAGAAATGTTCCTCATTTTGCATTTAAATTAGTATTGAAAAGTTCACATTCCTTATGCGTTTTGACCAGTCTATGTTATTACTATCATTATTATTACCAATGTTTGACTAAATTCAAGAGAAGGTTATTATTAATATTATGCCTAGATCTTTTTACGTAGATTGTGAATAATCAACATTTGTAAAGTGGGCACCATGAGCAAAAATACTTTTTTAATTCATTTTGATGTTGAACTTGTTATTGTATCACTAGACGGCCATAAGTTAATATGGATAACAAGTCTCAACATTTATTGCACCATAAGGAAATTAAAAACGCACGTCTCTGCGCAGCTCAATGTCTTAATCTTTCCCGGGCCTGTCTAACTACCGATGCCGACAGTAGGGCGCCTTTATAACGACATTACAGCTGGCAGACTAATAAGGCGTGTTTCCGTGGCGTGTGTCATGCTGAGGGCTTCATTAGTCTGCCGTGGTTGACCTGTTGCAGACTGACGGAAGTCTTCACCAGACTCCATTGCAGGCTAAATAGGCTGAATAAAAAGTATCATGTTTACCTTCACATGTCTAGCGCTAGCATAACAAACTATACTCTGTTAATTATTACTCAAGCACATTCATATGGTGCCCGCCCAGCTTTGTCCTGCCACAAAATGCAACTCAATACCACAGGGTATCTGCTACAGCACCAGTTACCATGGCGACAGACGTCTGGTCCAGGTCATTGACCTGGTCACTGACCATCCTTTCCCGGCCTGTCTAACTAACGCTGCCGACGGCAGGGCGCCTTTGTAACGACATAACAGCTGGCAGACTAATTAAAGCGTGTTTTCGCGGTGTGTGTCATGCTGAGAGCTTCATCAGTCTGTCGTGGTTGACCTGTTGCCGACTGACGGAAGTCTACATCAGACTCCATTGTAGCCTGGTATCCAGCCTTGTTAGCTTTAGTCCGCTACCCAAGATCCGCTCCCCGCTACCCAAGATCCGCGGGGCTTGGGTAACGGACTAAAGCTAACAAGGCTGGATACCAGGCTAACTCCATTGCAGGCTGAATAAATAGTTGCAATCGGCCTAAAAAGGGGATAGAATTGGCCAATGGAGTTAGCCGACCAGAAAAGGACCAATTTGCCTATCGTACAATCAGCCTGCAAAGGAGTCTGGTGGAGACTAGACACATTGCACTGTAGGACCTAATATCACCATAGAACCAAGTACACATAAAACTTTCCGACTTTGTCCTGCTACATAATGTAACCCAATGCCCCAGGGTGTCTGTTACAGGACCCGTTACCATGGCGACAGACGTCCGGTCCTGGTCATTGACCTTATGTGTTAGAAGTAACAGAGCAAAACATGTTTTTCTTCTGCGAAGGTAAACCTGACCTAACCACACAAATCATGAGCGTATTCAATTTCTATGATGTACACAGAATTTAATAAACTAATCTATGAAATAGGAACATGATGTAGGTTTATTTATGATGATACCTTTGTCTTTTCCCCCTATTTTTGTCACAGTCGTCTTCTCCCTCGGAATTTTGATATACCGGCATCGCCTGTCCCTCCGTACATCAGGGCGGGTCGCAATTTCTCACTTGATGCTTTCAATAAGAGATTTCGGACGGGGCCGAGGGGAAAATTGCCCATTTTGTGGCGACGTGTGCAATTTTGCTGAGACAAAGGCGAGTTCTATTGGCGCTTCACGCCCCGAGGCCGCGCTGTTTCGCCGTGGAATTCATCAATTTTATGGCTGCTTGGTCCGGAGGTGCGGTAACAGTGGATGTGCCGGTGGTGATGATGTGGTTATTATTGCCTTTTTGCCACATGGACGTTAGGGTGGCAATGAAAATTTCTGTGCCAGGGTCGTGACATTAATATTCTCACGGGCTATGAACCCTACTAAAAACTATTTCTGCAGGGTTGAGGATACGTCTTTTTTATACATGTCACAGTATGAAAGTCATGCCCAAGCCTCAAGAAAGTCTAAGATCACAGGTTTCTAAGGTTTCATAACACATTCACATTGAGTCTCCGGGCCTCACCGTCTCTCTGAAGCATGAGCGCACGCCAATATTTTCTCAACCGGGACGGGGGGCGGTACCGACTTTCGACGAACTTTGACCCAGTGCTGACGTCACACGCGTGGGAAAATCACGTCACCAGTTACCATGGTGGCAGACGTCTGGTCCAGGTCATTGATTTGTGTGGAGAAGAAGAGGAAGGGGAAACTGAGCAAAAAACAATGTTTTCCTTCTACTCATGATGAATTTTCCTCAACTTTTTCGTGTTTGTTTTGTTTTTTTATATCATACTTTCCGTTCCTGGAAACTGCCCGACCTGACCCTGCAGCTAAGCATGAAGAAAACCCCTTTTGTTCCTTGAAGGGCTTGACATAGACGCATTAAATTTGACCACAAAGAAGATGGTCCTCACTCAATTTTCGGAGCACAACGCCGATCACGATTCCAAACCTGATGTGGAACGAAGGCACCGTAAGATGAATCACAGCGTACACCAAAACTGAAAGCAAGCCCCTAAGCTGCAGACATCTGGCGCTCTCTCAGTAAAGACCCCGTATCACCCCCTTTCATCCCTCGTGAGAACCACCTGTGCCCCCCGACGTCCCCTCACAATCTGCCTGCTTAGTTTTAATCCAGCGCGAATCAATGATGCTTCGCTCCGGCGACCTGGCACCCTCCACAGCTCACCTTGACCGACCCCCATCTATCAAAAACTCGGCCCCAGGACTCATAACTATCGCACTTTCCATCAGAGTTTCTGAATTCTGTATGTGCTGCCAACATTTGTCATATAGAGCGAAAAAATGACATTTATATAGCAAATGGTGCACAGTCGCAAAATGAAGAAATATGGACAATTAGGTATGCAAACTAGATCCTGATTTGTATGATTGTCGTCTAATTATAAGTATCGCTTAAGCTCCCTTCATACCAAACATTACGATGATCCATAAACTGGTTCTTGAGTTCTCTTCCTTCAAGGATTGTGTTAAACCATGGCCAAACGCCCCTGCAGTTCCATCACAAGCTGATAGGGGGCCCAAACTCGTGCCATTAACCACTCACTTGTGACCGTAGCATGTTTAGATCGTGAGATATCAAAACCATCGTCCCAGGTCGGAATTTTGCTTGTTGGGACGGACTAGTATCCCCCCCCCCAAAAAAAAAATATCAGAAAAATGACGCCTACATTTTATGGCAAGAAAATCTATTGATTTAACAACTACAATCTGCTTTTAAAAAAGCAAATAACAATCTTTTAAAAAATCATACCTCAAAGTTTGGCCGCCCTTCTTCCCCCCCCCCCTCCCCATTTCCCCCAACAAAACAAGGAAACTGGAGACAGCCTTGCCCTATCCTCTGTGCCTGTCATTGTTGAAGGGTAATCGGTACATATGTGTGCGCTGTACCTTTTTTAATCTCCTATCGACACACTCGTTTGTCACTCCCGTCCCGCGAGGTTGATTTAAGCTGAGAATATTTGTCACGCAGGCCCAGAGGTAAAGATTTCCGATAGAAGTGTTCGCGTGAGACCTACACGGGCGGGTTGGGGACGTCTGAATTATGCTGAGTTTGTAGTGAGGCCTAGGGAAAAATGTTGTGTTTCCTGTTTCCCCATCCGACCCTAGAAAAAAACTACCGACTTCAGACCACTGATCGACCTTTTCTGGCTCTGTGATCTGACACCTGGGTGACGAAACGTTGTACGATTGGGTTTCCAACATTGACATTTTTTCCTGGGCCTTACTACGTAGCCTGACACATGGATTTGATGGTGGCGTCAAGATACATGTTGTGTCACTGCACAAAATTCTATCTATCTTTAAGTACACCTTAAAGGTACATGTAAGAGAAGAAATGGAACCTTTATGCAAAGGGGCGGTTTGGGCACGTCTGAATTATGCTGAGCTTGTAGTTACTAAGAAGCCTGACGTATAGATTTAGTGGTGGCATCAACATACGTTTCGTATGTTATCATTCTGAATTTTTAAAACGAAATGGTCCCCGATATGGCTTTTTTCTCACTTATTCTTTGTGTTACTTTTCTACGAGCTTCGTAAAAATCAGATGCTTTCCTCTAAATGATTGCTTTTTAAAATATACTTATTTTTCTTCTGATTGTCTTTTTAAATTTTTTTTAATAACTCAAGAGTGTAGGATGCACAACGTTTTCTGAGACGAACACAGTAAGGACACAACAAATGGCATGAATATCATATAATTCAACGCATTTGTGTAGTTTGAACGTATCATGTAACAAAATAATCTGGGCTGTCCATTCACAATGGCGACATCTTGCCATAATATCCTCAACTACAGCAGACAGCAAATAACAATTGAATGCCGATAGCGCTACACAAAAATGGATTCCAACTAGAACGTAAACCATTTGCAAACCAAGGGCATAAGGTTTACCTTAACCTGGTCAAACCCACCAAACTCAACACCACAGGGTGTCTGCTACAGCACCAGTTACCATGGGGACAGACGTCTGGTCCAGGTCATTGACTTTTTTGGAGATGAAGAGGTGGAGAAGAGGAAGAGGTGGAGGAAGAAACTACTGTGCAAAAACAATATGTTTTCCTTCTGCGAAATGTTAAAGTAAACATAACAAATCAGTGCATCTGAGCAACTCTGATCTTCTTCTCTTTCATATGACGTAGCAGCGCCTTCGCTCGAGCCTCGATGACGTCAATCAGCCTCTCCACGCCGTGTCTCCCTCCGCTCGCCTCCCAGTACTGTCTGTCCGTGAACAGCGACTGGACAAGGTTCTGTCTCAGGCGGCCCGGGGTCTTCAACAGGGCCACGGCAGACTTGGGGAACCTGGAGAGAGAAAACAGACAGTTTGAGCATGAAGCTATAATTTCTCAAATATAGCTCCATGGTTTAAGCAAATGGCTGTCATGTGCCACGGGGATTGTCGCCGTCGGTCCGGGGTCATCAACAGGGGCCTGGACTACGGCAGACTTGGGGAACCTAGAAAGAGAAAACAAGCAGTGTAAGCTTTTGTCTGTGAATAGAGACTGGTCCAGGTTTTGCCACGGTATCGCAGAAACCTGGAAAAATCAGTGAAACAGGCAGTTTAACTGTCTGTGAACAGCGACTCGACAAGGTTATAGCGAAGCCGGCCCGGGGTCTTCAATAGGGCAACGGCAGACCTGGGGAACCTGGAAAGATCATGAAACAGTACGAAGTTCTGGTTCAGGTCATTGACCTTATTGCACGACAATTGCAAACACATTCATATATATGGTCAGATAGTCAGAGTCTAAATCCCTCCTACTATCAAATTGCAACATGATGTAACCCAACACTAGTTACCATGGTGACAGACGTCTGGTTCAGGTCATTGACCTTATTGATTTGGAGAAGAAGATAGCCCAACACTAGTTACCATGGTGGCAGACGTCTGGTTCAGGTCATTGATCTTATTGGTTTGGAGAAGAAGAAGAAGAGAAATCAGAGCAAAAACAATGTTTTCCTTCGGGAAACATAATAACACGTACACATCAATGCCCTCCAGTAGCCTGTAGTTCAGCCTGTTCTCGCTGACGTTGAACCTGGCGTTGTTTTCCACCAGCACCAGGTGTCTGGTGTCCCCGCGCCGCTGCAGGATGTGGTCCAGCATCACCCTGTCGTCATTCTGACAGTCGCTGTGTGTCGCTTCTAACACGCACGGCTCCGAGGGGGTAGGATGGAATCCGCAACAGCTCCGGTCCAGCCGGTCGTAGATCTGGAAAGGTTGGAGACACACATGACTATGAAACAAGAAACCCGAGGTGTCATTCATACACAGCAAACAGTAACACAGATCATGATGTACAAATGACTAATACACTGGTGGACGTACCAACCACTAAGTATATAATACCAGCCCAGAAAAGAACAAGAAACAGTCATGCCTTCAAGTATCACTTTTTTTTTACCTCCATGGAGCTATCAACCAAGAATTGAGGTGTTCAAAAACTCGTATTTTTCAAAAACTATCGTAGAGTGGAACTCGTTGCCACCAAGCATAGTTGGGGCATCATCACTACTTCAATTTAATGTGCAAAGATTGAGTGTAACAATTCGTTTGGTGTGATAGCTAGCTGCCGTCGCGCCGCGTGCCTGCGAAGCTGGTGTGTGTTACGCCTAAGGGCGGTTATACCGGCTGTACTGATATAGATACAGATATATATGACTATGAATCTATGATACAAGAAATCGGAGGTGTCATTCATACACAACTTGGTCAGCATGCCTGACGCAGTGTGCGGCTTATTTCATTCTGCGTGTTTTGATTTTCTCTGTATCCCTCTGTTGTCAAACACAAGCCTAAGTAAGACCGCACAGAAGCGACCAGGAGTGTGTTAACAGTTAAGTCTGTTATAAAGTGTAACGGATACTCAGCTAACTGTTGTCTGTAAAGCTAACTGTAACTAACTGTAGCTAACTGTAAAGCGAACTGTTGTCTGTAAAGTCTTGCCCGTAAGTGAAGCGACCCCTGGCGACCTTCATGCGTCATCACCTCTTGATAATGACGAGTCGGTGGACAAGTGATAAATATTGCAGACGCGGGAAGGTTTTCTTGTGTCGGCCTGCTACAGGGATGATCCCAAGACAGGGATAGGGTAGCCTCCGCCAGGCCTTCCAAAGGGTTTATTTGGCCAAATCTTACTGAATAGCTAGGACCAACAATTATGAAGCACAGACACACACACACACACATACACACGCGCGCGCGCGCACACACACGCACACACACACACACACACACACACACAGATACCCACTCTTTATCAGCTCACTCAAAAGCTAACAAACGTTTATCAGTGCCCTTTCCAGCAATTTTAACTCAATACTCCTATTGCCAATCATATAATACGAAATAGTCATCCCTTAATCGTTATCCATGACTCTTAATGGTATGGAAAACTTGCCATCACACATATCTGCAATGCCAGACGATGTGGGAGAACTCTGATAAAGATATGCGAGGACAGCCTTCAAGTACCAGAGTTATTAAGCAAGGATTGAGGTGTTCATAAAGATATTCCTTCCTAGAACTATTGCAGAGTGGAGCTCACTGTCCGACCAAGTACCGTAGTAAACAATGTTTAGAGAGAGGTGTTCAACTGAGGTTATGTGTAACAGGTCGTTCGGTGTAATGTAGCCAGCTGCCGCCGCGCCGCGTGCCTGCTAGGCTGATGTGTTATGCCGAAGGTCGGTTATACAGGCTATACATGTACCGTTACAGATACAGCATATGAAGCGAATGAAGGGCACATATCTTGTGAGGACAGCGTGTGCATGTGAGGGGCACATGTCTGTGAGGAACGTCTCGGTACCAGTAGCTGCGTGACCATTACATGTCTTCGAGTCAACAAACTTTGACTTTGAACTTCGCACTACAGCTCTAACCCAGTAGCCCGCCCCTCGCAGTATTTCTTGCATGTCGTCATATAATTACTTAACGTCCGGTCGGCGCCAGATGAAGCCATTCGAGGACATAGGTTACGACTTCATTCTTTAAATATGGTTTCGTTGAAATAGCCATTTTCAATAAACTGCTCCTCTTGTCTCCAGAAGTTAAAATAATGAGAGGCCGTCCATATACTATACTTAAGAACCTAATGGAGACTGAGACTAGTTAAGGGAGAAAGAACTAACAGAAATCATGTATGACAGAGACTTCTGGAAGAAAAACTTTGAATTGGCTTCAATTCGTTATAGTAGGAATGTAGATAGTAGATAGATAGAAATGAAGTCTTCTTTTCACAGTCGTAAATGCAATGCGTTTTTAAATGCTCGGGAGGTCTTGAAAGACAGCACGTTCAGATTACCGAAAATAGTCAGCTCCAGTCAGAAACTCTGAGAAATCTGCTGTCTGATAGATGCCGAAACGTAAGCACTTAGGTGAGACAATCTCGGTTATGTAAAAGAAAACTCCTGTATCCCAGCACGTTCAGATGTTTCCTACATCAAGCCCACATTAAACCCCAGTCCCTCCACGCCCCAGAAAACAGCCCTGCCCTCCTAACTGCTCCTGGAACCGGATGCCAAGACAAACACAGACATCTGCCACCTTGTACTGTTGTTTGCTGGGTAAATATATTAGGCCAGGCTTGGCAAACTTCACAACTTTGTCGGGCACTGTTGAAACGCCTTTCAATGTACACAAATCATGTTAACTTCAGCTTGTCTTCAATCTTACATATCCATATATGAAAACATAGGACTAGCCGCACCCGATTGTAACATAATATGACAGTTTGATCGTACTTATAACTTATCTCTCACTGTTTAGTGAGTAGAATATTGAGATTTGTCTCTTATTTGTCATTTATACTCTGTAGTTGACCTTACAAAAGTACACTGTACTTAATGTTGCGTGAATTAAACTCCTGTATGATTAGAAGACACTCATACAGGAAGAGGGAGGTAGAAAGAGTCAGAGTAAGTTAGTGGGAAATTCACGTTCATGAAATGTATTCTCACGGTAGCAAAGGTTCGCGGTCTGAGACAAAAATGGAGTTTTTCACGGAACTATATATTCACGGTGCAGGTGCAGAAAGAAGAAAATATTACCTGGATGTCTAACCTTCATCGACATAATTAGGAATTAGTATTGACTTTCAAACCGAGACCGCATAACCACATTGCTTCTCTTTTGAACAAATTTAATTTTTTGGAATGGCTTCTTCAAGTTTGTTTCCCCGTGTCCTACTGGCATCCAACCCTCCTTGGTTAACACGAACCAGCCTGATTTACTTGGCCCCAGCCCCTAACTGATACTAATGTGTGATCTGTGCGACATTTAACTGGAGGCCCCGCCTGACTGCTGATAGATTGTGCTGCCCTCTGTTCTGGGTTGAAGCATGCTTCTGTTCTCGTGTGACAGGAGGATAGGGCAAACATGGCAGCGATGACAAATTCTTCAGCTCACCCCAAACTCCACATACGTTTTGTATTTGTTATCCCAACCTTGTATTTAATATAACATTATTATATGTTTTTATGTTTCATGAGCAAAGGATCCTTGTAAGTACATTACGTGCTTTCTGTCCAATGATCACAAATCTATGTGAATAAGATTTAAAAAAAGGAATGTTTTTTATGTAATTAAGTTTCAACGTGGATTTTTACCTTCGCCAAAGGTTCTGTTCTGATAGCGTTTAAGTATGTATGTATGTATGTATGTATGTATGTGTGTATGTATGTATGTATGTATGTATTTATGTATGTATGTATGTGTGTGTGTATGTATGTATGTATGTATGTGTGAATGTATGTATGTGTGTATGTATGTATGTATGTATGTATTTATGTATGTATGTGTGTATGTATGTATGTATGTGTGTATGTATGTATGTATGTATGTGTGTATGTATGTATGTATGTATGTATTTATGTATGTATGTATGTGTGTATGTATGTATGTATGTATGTGTGTATGTATGTATGTAATTTAGCACGATATTTCAGGAAGATTTGGATAAATTGTCATGAAACTTGGAAGGTGGGTAGGCCTTGATGAGACCTCAAAATGGTTATCGCTCCCTAACGGCTTATTATGGTACTGCAGCGGAATTTCTGGTTTTGATATCTCGTGATCTGGACATGCGAGGGTCACGAATTTTGGATTGTAGAATATGATAGATCTAGTCCTTGTGCTCTGAAATAAGTGACGTAAGCTTTGGCCCTCTGGTAGCTTCTTCTGGAACTGCAGGGGCGTTTTTGTGTTGTTCAATGCGTGCCTGGGAATATGTTGGTTTGGCTGTGTCCTATGGAGGTGTTTCTGTCAACAATGAATAGAAACAAATCCAAGCTTTAATAATATTGAATTCTCTGATCAAATTCATCCATCTGGGTTTGATGAAAATCCTCACGCCAAAATATACACGACCGTCCACCAATTATCAATTTGACATTTCAAAACCTTGCTTTCCAAAATATCACGTAAGATGACGTCCCATTCAATCAAGCACATCGTTTGTAATCCTCTGATTGCTACCATATGAATTCTCGTTCTGAAATATTTATGTGCTATTTTACGACAAGCCGTAAACGGGAGAGATCTCCTTCTCACCACTGTACTGAGCTTCCTAGCCTCTACCAGGCTTCGGGAGGCGGCTGGAAAGAGTAGAAATCCGCCAAATAGAGAGATAACATGTAGGGGAGAGTTGGTCAGGTGCGGCAAACTGTACTCTCCAGCAGACCTACTCCCCTGGCATGTTATACTCTCTATTTGGCCGATTTCTACTCTTTCCAGCCGCCTCCCGAAGCCTGATAGAGGCTATGAGCTTCCGTGAGAAAATGGTTTTTACTCAGCTGTGTTGAAATCCCCTTGCGTCGGCCAAACCAGCACCGACTCAAAAATGTTCAAAGAAAATCGCTCGGTCATGATTAGGTGCACGTAGCCAGGTCAACTGGTTTTTACGGGGCTCGTTTCAGCATACTAAATCTAGCATTACGTTAATGATGGTTTAATAATACACATCCAGGTAAACAATACTTGAGGACGATTCAAACACTACTGCTGGATAAATTACGGAGATAACTTTTACATGTGATATTTAAGTGTTGACTAGTTCTGTCAGTTCATTTTAGTGACGCCGAAGAAGTGTGATTGATGTCATTTAAAACGTCCGAAAGTAATCTCCAGTAATTCATCCAGTAATATAGTTTTAATTGTCTTTGAAAGTATCTAGAATTCTTTCAATTTCTGATGTGAGATCTAAAAAATTCGTTGCATGAAGACAACTAAATTGACGCTTCTTTCCCCAAACATTTGGTCTAGTTTACAAGTGCTTAACGTTCACAAGGTATGGATATGACAAATGTTTCGACAATTTTAATGTTAGAGTGTAAAATGATGATAATAATATCTGCAAACAAGCATATATTATAGGTTCATATGTTTTGTGAAGTATCGTATTGTGGGTAATAAGGAATGTACCTCTCACCACCCCTTCCCCTTGTACTTCACATTGACTTGTGCACAGGCCAGTCTGGTCTATCAAAACACAACCCTTCCCCCACCATCACAGGAGGAAATTATCGAGCCGGAAAACAACCCTAGACTTTGTTTTCTTTCGTCGACTGGCGCTATTTCAAGTTCTCTATAATGAGGCCCCATATGTGGCGGTGTCGGAGTAGAGTATACCGGTACCTTGACCCTTTAAAAACACCGATCGGGTTGCTTATAGTTTAAGCCCCTGTCACACATTCAGAAACTTCCCACCACCTACATACCAACCAAGGTTGGCTGCATTTTGACCAGATTAAGACTACGTCCACCTGTCGGTACAAAAGGTATCGAATTTGAGTTAAATTTGAGTCAAATTTGACTGTCAAATACATTACTGCTGACCTACTAGTACTCCCGAACACTAGTACTAGCCAACCACAGCCAATCATGGTCAGGTTGACCAGACTAAGACTACGCCTACCTGTCTGTACAAAAGGTATCGAATTTGAGTCAAATTTGTCTCAAATTTGACTCAATACTGCTGACCTACTCCCGAACACTAGTACTAGCCAACCACAGCCAATCATGGTCTAACCTACCGTCCCCATCCAAATGTTTTAAATATTTTCAAACATTTGTCTGTGGCGCAGCCAAACAGTATGTCGCCAACTAGTGTTTGGGAGACCATATTCGACTATGTGTAACAGGACAGCAGGGGCCAAGATTCAGAACATTTTTTTAACGGTGTCGCTCAATGCAAGGCCATTGGCCACTTCTAGGCATACAGCTACAGGTATAGAACTGCAACAGCAACTCTTCTCCCTGAGTCAGAAACATCATCACAAGTAGTGAGGACTAACTGACCCAATAGGAGAAGCAGGGGTTACGAGGCTGGTCGGGAAAATTTCCTGGCATAACGTACTGGAACATGTAACCACTTCTTTGAAGCTCGGCCTTTCGTTCTCACTACTAGTTGTTATTCTCCAAGCAGAGGTTTGGGTTTTGGGGGTATTTTTAGCGTGTTTTCAGGCTTTTTTTATTGGGGTTTCTCTTTTGCACTAAATTTTTTTTTCACTGAAAAAAAATTCAGTGCAAGAGTGAAAAAAATTCAGTGCAAAAGAGAAACCCCAATAAAAAAGCCTAAAACACGCTAAAAATACCCCCCAAAACCCAAACCTCTGCTTGGAGAGTAACTAGTTGTCACCTTCTGAAAGCTGAAACGTCTCTCACAACCACATGTGTATAGCAACAGCTAAGATCAAGGAGGCTTAAACCTCCTTGCTAAGATCCAGAGCAAAGATAGCAGGTAACTAGAGAACGGATAACAAACTTAAGAAATGGAAAAGGTAGAGACCGTTAAACATGGGCTAAAATGGCCAACTATGCTTTCTCTATTTTCAAACTTTTAGGGGTTATCACACCTGCGTAAGGCAACAAAAGATTCCTTTGTGCCCAATGATGTTAGTATAACAGGAAATGCTTTTAGAAAAGCTGACCGGCGGCGAAGATAGTATAGTTGGTATTTATATATATATATTAGTACTTTTGTGAAGTGGCGCTGGCAAAATAAGTAAAAGAGAAAAGGAGTAGGGGCATGACCCGGTGTGCGATGGTCCAAATACGACTACCTGAAAGTTGGTGATATATATGGTCAGACAGGAGTCTAAATCACTCCTGCTATGAAATTGCTACATGATGTCACCCAACACTAGTTACCATGGCAACAGACACAACATTGGTTTAGGTCAGAGGTCACTGTTTAGAGAAGAAGAAGAGGAGGAAGAAGAAACTGAGCAAAAACAATATGTTTTCGTTCGGTAAATATAAATACACTAATGAAGATCCTAATAAAACAAACAAAACAAATAAACAAACAAAGCTGTGATGGTACATGTGGCAAGTTCAAAGGCATACATCGAAGCTTACCTGTAGAAGAAAGTCGAGCATAGCCATCCTACACCATTCCGAATGCAGGACGTCGGTGCAATGATAGTTGCCTTTTGGCCGTTTGCTTATACTCCCTGGCCCTTTCCCCCAACAATGGCTTTTCAACATTTGTTGGTACGTGTTCCAGTGAATGTACATGGACGAATGGCCGCTACCTGTGACGAGAATGGACGGGTCCCACAGGCTGACGGGCCGGATCGTGAGCCTTCGTCTCACGTCGTTATCCGTCGTGAAAGATCGGGCCACCATCGGTAAAGTCCGGTTGATTCCGAGAACGCGGTCGAGGTGGAATGCGAACACCTGATGTAACTTTTTTTCATCATCAACAATAACGCAGTGGTTCTTACACTCCATGGCGCCTATTTCCCCTTCTTCAGTCAGAAGCACTTCCGACGTTTCTCCAGCTGTGCCCAAAGTCCACCAGTCTACACCTCTAGTGTCTTTCCCAGCAAATGTCATGTTCTCTTCAGCTAGCCTGTGCATGTCTATAAGGTCAGACTCCGTGAACCATGGAGGCAGAGCGTACACTCTGATGTTCTCTTTCGTATCTCGTCTGTGTGCTGCTACCGTTCTTGTAACACTGTGGCTACCTCGGAGTTTTTTCCTACTCAGTCTTTCGCTGACACTTGCCAGTCGCGGCTGTTGTACGTTTTGTTGTTGGGTGACTTTCCTGACTGTGAACGTTCTGAAATGTTTCCTGTTGTAGTCGGGTTGGTACGTCAGGTAGCGGACGTTTCGACGCGGGCCTCGGGTGTTCTGCGCGTCTGTAGCCTCGTCGACTTCTGGTCGCCTGGAGGTCGTGGAGGGTTGTGTCTGTGTCGGGTTTAATCGCACGACACTGGGCCGAGACTCGACACGAGTGTTAGACATGACGCCGTACAACACGCACACAACCGTAGCGTTCGCTAGAGCGAGGAGAGCAAGGATTGTTTTGAGGGCTCGGGGACGCATCGCCCGCCAGCCCAGCCCGACTCGCACGGCGGCCAGACGACTGAAACAAACACCCGCGCTGTAAGGAACACCAACGGTTTCAGACTGTTTCCAGGGGCCTGCACAGGCTAGTTCCACGGCTCCAGGGCCTACACAGGCCAGTTCCTCGGCTCCAGGGCCTACACAGGCCAGTTCCTCGGCTCTATGGCCTACACAGGCCAGTTCCTCGGCTCCAGGGCCTAGACAGGCCAGTTCCACAGCTCCAGGACCTACACACTAACACAGACCAGTTCCATGGCTCCAGGGCCTACACAGGCTAGTTCCTCTGCTCCAGGGCCTGCATAGGCCAATTCCTCGGCTCTAGGACCGACGTGCCCCAAAGAAATTATACCACACTGACAGCCACCTTCTCAGTTAGCCTGGGTGCCGGATTGTTTCCAGGGCCTAGGCAGGCCAGTTCCTTGGCTCCAGGGCCAACATGCCTCCAAAGAAATTATACTACAGTCCTCCTCAGTTAGCCTGGGTGCCAGACTGTTCCTAGAGCCTACACAGGCCAGTTCCTCGGCTCCTGGGCCAACATGCCCCCAAGAAAATTGTACCACAGCCCTCGCACGCTGGCTATTGAATAACTCTGGACCTAGCGTGCTATAGGTCTGTCATCCAGGGCGTCCACGTCATTATATTTACTGGTAACACGTCCACGTGCCGTATTAAAACTAGAGCTCCTATAAAGACATTGTTACATAAATGTTGCACCGTTTCACTCACGAAGGCTTCTTGGCGCGTTCCTTCACCCGTGGAGGCGTTTATCAAGCATCCCAGTGACTTGGAAAGCCTTCTGTACACGTTCCGAGCACCTCGCTGACGGAAGACGGCACGCTACTGGAAACTGACGAGAGCCTCTAGACCAACCAAACCCGCAAAAAATACTCCCGATCCTTTCCCGTGTACGTCTAGTAGCTGAATGGTGATCGCGTGACAATCGTTGTTGTAGAGGGATAGCCTCCACCAGGCCTTCCTACGGGAATACGGATCGTAGCATTTGGTAAAAAGGAGAGTAAAATTGGCCAGGCGAGTCAGTCCGCGCAAGGTTGATGCTTTCCTCCGCGAAAACTGCGCGGCCAGTCAAACCACAAGGCGGCCAAACTCCCATGCCTGGCAAATATTCTCCCTATGTAGCCAGGGTAGTTCTGGTAAAGCCTAGTAGAGGGAGGAAACGACTATTTCGCCCCGAAGTTCCCGCCGGTAGAAATATTATGAACACATGAGGGTGTACGTGTTGGCTCGGTAGAAGAGAAGGCTAGAACCCGGTGTTAAGCCAAATACATGATCCTGCCAGATACAGTGTACATGACTCCAACACTACTTGGGGGTTTCCAATATAACTGAGACAGGGGGTAGGAGGGGTTTAGTCGTGATGCGGGAGACTAAACCTAACCTAACCCCAATCGTAAGTCTAACCCTAGCCCTGAACAATGATCCCAACTCTAACCTTAACCTTAACCTTAATTCTAATATCTGTTAACGTTAGACCGCAACATCTGTTATGTAATAGTATGTTAACCTGACATGTAAATATAGTACACAATGTAATTATAGTAAACGCATGACGACTAGGCCAGATCTCATAGCTTGTTAACGTTAGACATCTGGTATGTAATAGTATGTTTATCTGAAGTGTAACTAACCGACACTGTTACCTGTTCCGAATTGTTAATGTTCTTGTTGTGAGGGCTAGCCCTTTATAATAGCATCCGGCTAATTGGTCAGTCCTGGCTGCATACATACGTCTTATACAGCCTAATAAATCAAATCAAATCCAACTCTAATATCAACCATAACCCCAGCCCTAGCCCTAAACACCTGACCTCTCACGTATGTGGCAGCTCAAGGATTTGGCTCCACAGCCGGTAGATGGAAGGGTTAGAACCTGGCCTTGGTGCCAGACTGTTGCCAGGGTCAATAATACACACGCTAGCTCATCGACTCCGACGATTTTACGTAGACACCCCCTCAGATAGACTCTGAGCTCGAGAGATAAATAAGACCCCCAGGTGCTAACTCTGTGATCGGGGCTTGTGGCTTCTCCCAACCGAAGGGAGTATTGTGTCGAACCGGGGTCTGGCATCCAGGCTATGAAGGGGAAGGTTAGAACCTGGCAGCTTCCTGCCATACGTGACGACAGATAAATGGGAGGTCGGTGCCTGGGTGGTAGTTAAAGGCATCCAATGAACTTTCAGGGCCGCGGCAAAACAAAAATATATTCTGGATGAGGAAATCTGTCTGATAGTAACATGTACTGCCATTTCTTAGCAACTTTTCGTCATCTTTTCATACTTAAAGCGCTTGAAATAGCTACGTGAGGAGTCTCTTTATTTTTGGTACCACCAGTAAATAGCTAGAACCAGCCTACGTTGGCTGCGATACGAAAATTGCAACCGTTTTCCGTCAGCGACATCGCATGTTTTTCTCACAGATATCAGTATGCTGATCAGTATCAGATAGCACTGATTCAACTTACTACACTGTTTAAGACCACAGATTGACGTTGAAAATCCCGTTTTAATACTGCCCTGAAATCGCTTGCCAGGGTACAAACCTGGTTAGTTTTCTTCCTCTCCCACAGTAGCGACTTTTGTAGCGGACGTAAACTGACCAGGATGGTACCCAGGCTTACGCTCCAAGCAGAGGTTTGGGCTTACTTTTGGCGTGCTTTTAGGCTTTTTTTTTTCATCGGGCCTCCTTTTTTGCACTAGTATTTAAAAAAAGGCTCGAAGAAAGCCTAAAAACACGCCAAAATTAAGCCAAAGCCCAAACCTCTGCTTGGAATGTAACCCAGGCTATGAAATCACTTTGGGTGCCAGTTTAAAGTTTAAACCCGTCTGCAGGTGTTTATCTTGGGAATAACGACCTGGATCCTGGAGCGAGGCCTTCTGGAAGCCATGGCCTCATTCCCTCATGCCCGCCGTAAGGCCACAGCAAGTAAATTTTATGGATGACATCCTCCGCAGACTCCAAATCTAATGCGAGCGGGCGAAAAAAATACAAGGCGGGCAGAAAAAACAATGTTCCTACATTTTCAAATTTTGACTCAATCATTGTACACATGATTTTGATTCAGTGGGAACATCACATATATACAGCCAGCATCACATAACACTGCATGAAAGTAAGAAACAAACATGAAATCAGAGCCTTTTCTTTTCTCCTCTCTTCATAGGTATCTGCCATCCACGTTTCAGCATGGCAACAGACATCTTTTGCCCATTTTCGGCATGTTGACCACTGTCAGAGGGCAACAAAATTTCTTGTTTTTTTTCTCCAAAATCAGGCGAAAATTAATGCGCACGCTGATGTCATCCATAAAAATTACTTGCTGTGGCCTAATGATCACGTCTCGTGCACACAAACATGACCTGCTGCCGCCCTCCGCCCGGCGTGTGGACTTTTCCACCGACCTCTGCCGGATTCCTGGGCGAAGTGCAGTGTGGGGTCCCTCCCGGCCGTGGGGCCGTAAAGGCCATGCTGATTTGCTTATATGGATCACATCCTCGTGGATAAGCTTTCTTCTGTTTCCAAACAAAATTCAACCACAAAGCAGCGCTCCAAAATGAGCAAATATGTGCCGTTAGGCCATGTTGATTTGTTCATATGGTTGATTTGTTCATATGTATGACATCCGTAAAGGTGCGTATGCACCTGTTTCCCCCCCCCCTCCACTTTGTGAAAAAAATCGAAATAAACAAATAGAAAAAAATATTGGAAAACAATACTAATCTCGAATAATCGATTCAAAAGGAAAAGAAGATAATGGTAAAAAAAAATGAAAACGAAGAGTCTATCATTCGCCATACCATACTGTGTGTGAGATGAAGGCAACTTTTTGCCAAACTTTTTTATCCGCACGCTCGCATCAATTTTATGGTTCCCAGGGGATGTCATCCATATATTTAAATCAGCATGGCCTAAAGCTGAGAAGTCTCAGACACGCGACAGTTCAGTATCATGTCTCCCACGTGCCGTGAGATCTGTCCAACTGTGACGGGAAACAGCCACCGCCTGCATGTACTATGATGTAGCCTCTACCAGGCTTCATTCCCATCTTGAATCCCTGTGAGATGTTAACGTTGTAACATACCTGCCTAGTAGTAGGTGGTGACTAGCCTCTACCAGGCTTCGACTAGCCTCTACCAGGCTTCGACTAGCCTCTACCAGGCTTCGACTAGCCTCTACCAGGCTTCGACTAGCCTCTACCAGGCTTTGGAAGCGACTGAAAAGATAGAAATTGGCCCAAACAGGTAGACTATACGCTAGCTAAAGTTGGTCCGCGCTAAGAGATCTCTAAGAGTAACAGAGACTCTTACTAGTCTTAGCGCGGACCAACTCCCATTGCATAATCTGTCTAGATCTATTTGGCCAATTTCTTCCGAAGAAGATCTCTACTATCAAGGTAAACGCTTTAAGAAAATGTGCTAAGAAATGACAGGAATTGTCAATGTCAGACAGTCCTTCTCGTCCAGAATATTTTTTTCTGTTTTGCCACCCTGATGTTGTACTGGATGCGTTTAAATTAAAACGAATTTATCTTCCCCATACGTCAACCTGATTCGAAGTTACCCCAATATATGGGGTTTTATTTGAAACACTTCACAGCCCGAAGGCTGAATTACATGTCCCGTACATTGTATAAGAATAACAATACACGGAGTGTGTCTAAACTGATGGGTAGACAGGGTGATGACAGGACCACCCATGTCCGATGTGAGCGTCCGGATAAGATAACCTACTCCAGGGTCACCTGTCATCGTTAGAAAAGACTTCAAGACTTGTTTTTCCCGTATAGCACTTAGACTGAGACTGAACTGTTGATACAGCTTGGGAGTGCTACAGCTCCTGTGGCAATAGCGCCACTAGGCGAAGATTGTCGGCAGTACAATGCTATTGATTGTTGCGTTCTTTAGAAGAGAAACATCGATCACATTAGATTACGATTTCGGCATGGGCAAGTCGGGACTGGATATGATTAGATTTCATGGATGACATCCTCCGTAGACTCCAAATCTAATGCGATAGGGCGAAAAATCAAGATTCCTACATTTTTAAATTTTGATGACATAAACCTTGCTAATTAGAATTGACGCGGCAAAACAATTGATAATCATAGATCTTTCCTGTATTCAACAACATAAATATACCTATATCCGGAAGCCAAAACTAACCAGTATTTCAATTCTCGGCCGTACGGAGGGCAACAAAATTTCTTCTTTTTCCCAAAATAATCAGGCGAAAATTAATGCGTGCAGTGATGTCATAAAAATTATCTACTGTGGTCTTACAATGTAAACGTGCTTCGCAATGACGTCTACCAACGCAGATGACCTTTGAAGATAAAAAAAAGAAGATCCTGTCTAGTTGGTATCGTCCACGAACAATGCCTGAGATGGGCGTGGTCAGTACTCACCTGGGTGACGCTTCCCACAATCCCCCGCGCGGGCCACTCGCAGATCGAGAGAGACAGACAGCGAAGAAGAGTCACGGTTCACGAAATTTTGGTCTTCTTCATTCCGACATGATTTCCAGACTAGTGCTCGCGTTTCTGGTCGCCAGCTTCTGCTGTGCGCAGCCTGGTGTAGCAGAGAACCCTGCGAACCCAAATCAAGCTGCAAATGTCGGTAAGTTATCGTGGAAAACCGTCGCGAAGTTTAGACATTTTTTGTGACATCGCCGTAACCTAAGATCGGTGCAGAACCGGTTTGACAGCTATCGGTTTATCATCATATCTGCATGACCCCGTACGTGCAAAATCGCCATGTTTGCTTGTTTGCTAAAGAATAACTATCGTTGATAGGTTATCAAATATTTGGAACTTTGATAATACTTGACGACTATTTGATAAACTGCTAAAAAGATAACAGTAATACTTGTAGCTATAGTTGCACATACACGTCACCACATATTATTTAGATGCCGTAATGTTGAAAGATTTTTTTTTTTTTTTTTTTTTATTCACATTGGATTTTTGAGCATTGGATAGGAAGCACTTGTTGTGCTTATGTAAATCCGCTGCTACATAAAACATAATACAAATGTAAACATAAAGATGACATAAAGTGTAGCATTAACATAAAATGAAAGTGGCTGGCGCACCAATACCTAGCATAACATTATTGAGATTGGTCAAATCTTCCAGAGTGGTGGATATAGTTAAACACAATATCAAAGATACGGCAGTTGGTAGGGTAAGGGAGGGTGGGGCTACCTGTAAGAAGTAAAGCACATAATGTGGCGTCATTTACGTTGAGTGGGTCGGAAGGGAGTATGTTTTCAAGATGAAGGCAAGATATGGATAACAACATTTTGGTCCTTTCAGTATTATAACATTTGCAGTGTAATAAATAGTGTTCTGGTGTCTCATTTGGATGCCCACATTTGCACTCGGGACTACTGATACAGTGATGCTGGAATAGGTGGTAGTTCAGCTGGCTGAAACCAAGCCTGAGTCTGGTAAGGTGAGTCACATGGTGTCCGTGGCCGTGAGAGTAGTGGGGATGTCTGGGCATGCTATCAAAGCAAGACTCTAATTCATTTTTGAATGCACGAATGGATGGGGATTCTTTGGCGGTCTTTGAAAGATTTTATCAGTTGTCTGTTGACGGAGCTATCTTAGTTTGTGTTGCCTCCAATTGGAAAGTCACAAGTTGCACTTGTTTGATGACACATGTCCACATGACCATCCTATCTCCCACTATGTAAAAGACACTTGGTATCTCCAATTGACACTATACTAGAGTGTTACCTAAGTATAGGTTCACCTGTATAATGTTTGGCATAGTACTTTTCCCCCAGCTTCTCCGTTACTAACGGAGTACGACAAGGTAGTTTACTGTCCCCATATCTTTTTAATGTATACATAGATGATTTGAGTGTAAGCTTAAACAATGCCAAGGTGGGCTGTTATGTAGGTGGGTCCATCACCAACCACCTGTTTTATGCCGACGACTTATGTCTGATTTGCCCTAGCATTAAATCTCTACAGAGATTGGTTGGGATTTGTGAAGTGGTTGGCCATGGTAATGACATATTGTTTAATACTAATAAGACTTTCTGTATGTATTTTCCATGTACTCGTTTGCCACTTCAGCTTCCATTGCCACCTGTAAGTCTATACGGTACCAACCTGAAGTACGTAAACTCATTTGTCTATTTGGGTATACACCTAAATACCACATTAAGTGACGATGATTGTGTACTTGCTATGCTGAAGAGTCTTTATAGTCGTGCAAACAGTATCAACCGCAAATTTTTCTGTTGCTCTCCATCTGTTAAGAGACACCTGTTTATGACGTATTGCGCCCAGCTATATGGCGCCCAGTTATGGAGCTCTGTAAGCTCTGGTGTTTTGTATAAGTGCAGAGTGGCTTATAATAATTGTTTTAGAATCATAATGAATCTGCCTCGGCGCTGCAGCGCGAGTGATATGTTTGTCTGTAACTATATTGACACTTTTGAAACCAGGAGGAGGAGAATTTGTTATTCTTTTCTAAAAAGGTTATTTTCCTCCAATAACGCAACAATCTGTCGCTTAATTCATTCCGATGCCTTCTACAGGAATTCATTCTTTCGGAAGACCTACCATTTGTTATGCTTTTAGGTTTCTTCCTGTTTTACTTGTATGTCTGTAGTGTTTTTGTATTATTTTAATGATGTATTGTACATGTTATATGGGTTTTTTTACCTGAAATAAAGAATGAATGAAATGAATGAAAGTACTAGTACTGTCTATAGTATAGACCCAAGGCCTTGATAGACCTTATGTCATGAAAGTATGAGTTCTTGCAAAAGATACTTGAATTCGAAATAAGCATTCTGTAAACTGTTAATTCATGTTTATGTCAAGGAAGATCACAGATTTAATATTTCGTTAAATTGTTTGGGTACTATATTACACATAACGTTACATGTTAAATTCCAGACCTGTATACCTGTACCGGTATCTGTATGTTATGTAGGATGTTCCCCGACCTTGCCTCCGAACACCAGCCAACCGTGGATTTGTTCCTGGAGTGTTGAGGAGGCCAATATATAATTTGTGAATGTGTGGCCGGGGCTTTAGGTGCATGTGCAACACTACAAATGTAACTTAATATCCCTGTTAGTTGTAAGAATTCCTTGTAAGAAGTCCTTGTTTTTAAGATTAAAATTTTGGAGTACTGATGCATACTTATTAATATTAAATGTTTGTATACAGGCTCATAGTCATAAGATGTTGATCAGGGACATTATATATAAGAGGGTCTCCATATAATGTCCTTTTTAATATGTTGAAATATAGTCATATGCCCTCAAGATAGACCATTTCTAAGAAGATACAAATGTACTATTCTAAAGTATCAGTGATAAGTTATAGGCATGCATCAATGCATCAGGACAGCGTTTTTAAAATTAATATTTATACATTTTTGGCAAGGTAAATATCATCTGTTGCACTTAGTTGATTGTTGAGAATGGTTACAACTCTGAGTTATTTGGATCAAAGGCAACTCAGAATCAGACCTCATTTGCATAACCAAAGATGTCCAAACCAGTAGTACTACATGTACTTGCATGTGCGTCATCACAGTAATTACTGTCTAAAATCTGTGCGAGGTCGCATGGTAAGTAGTCATGCCAGTCAGAACTGGTCTGTACACGATGGAACCAGTTATGCTGAGACTAGTGAGACTACATATTATATAAAGTGACCTGTTTGTCTATTACAGTAGTATTTATACATGTAATCATGGCAATTTCGTCATTATTTCATGCTTAGCTTGAAGCTTTTGAGATAATCCAAAAACAAGCCACCCTAGGTCTCTTTATTTTTGGGGGTAAAATTCCATGAATAAAAAAAAGTAGCTGGAACCAGCCTACAATACAAAAGAAGCATTTTTGCCCACAAATATCAGTATGTCATGGGATTCATTCAACATACTGCATCAATAGAATGACCAGAAAGTTGACTTGCAAACTCCAGTTTTACCACGGTGACCCTAAAATTGCTTCTGATACTTTTTTTTTATTATAATATGAAGAATTAATCTCAACGTGTTCCTGCACTTAGCTCATGGAAAGCTCCAAGAAAAACAAAACAAGCATCAGAGTGTTTTGCTGCCACTTTAGTTCCTGTTTATGCTTACCTTTGATATTGAAAGGCCTCAATCAAAGGGTTTTCTGAATAGACAGGACTGTTAGACAAATTCAAGTTCAATCTGAACTGACTGCAATCTAGCCATGTAATTCAGGAATGTTGAAAATATTTCAAAAAGTGATTCATTTCATATTACCTTTTTCTATGCAGCAGCAGCAGCAGTCAATAATGTGAAAAATGAAGGAGCATTGCAGATACAACGGAAGGCGACTGATCAGGCATCGCAACCAGCCACACAACAACAACAACAACCTGCACAACCTCAGCAGCCACCTGCGCAACCACAGCCACCTGCGCAACCACAAAAGCCACCTGTGCAACCACCTTCAAAGCCACAGCAGCCCCCTGCGCAACCTCAACAGCCTGTGCAACCACCTGCAAAGCCACAGCCACCTGCGCAACCTCAACCACCTGCACAGCCACAGAAGCCACCTGTGCAACCACAGCCCCCAGCACAACCTCAGCAACCACAAAAACCACCTGCGCAACCTCAACCACCTGCACAACCACCTGCAAAGCCACAGCCACCTGCGCAACCTCAACCACCTGTGCAACCTGCACAGCCCCCTGTACAACCACAGAAGCCACCACAACAACCCCCGGCACAACCACAGCCCCCCGCTGCGCAACCACAGAAGCAAGTCGAACAGCCGCCATCTCCACCACAAGCACCAAAGGAAGAGGTAAAACTCTTTGTTTGAGTGATGGAATTTTGACAAGGGGTAGTCATACTTTTTTCCTGATGTCATCTCCATTCGTGTCAATTTCTTTCTCCCATGTCTTTATACTGCAATATGATTCCTCTTGTGCTGAGATCCAGTCCATTGGAAGTGCTGCAAAATCTTACTTGTTGCAGGAAAAAGCACCTGAAGAGGTAAAGGAAGAAGAAGAGACAGAGTGGAAAGAACAAGAAAAAGAGGTAACTTTTTTTTCAATCTGGCAGTTGATTTTGTTTTGAAAACAGTTAGTGAAAGTAATCATGATGGAATGTAAACATAGAATTGGAAATTCATATAGTAATTCTATCTAATATAATAATAAATGGTTTGCTGGCCAAACATCACTGTGCAATCGCAGCCTCATAGTGCTGAATTGATGCAGGGTTTACAATCAGATGATACAAATAGTAATAATACACATAATAATACACATGATACATATTTGTTCCACATTTTTGTGCAACTGCCGCAAGGGTCTGTGCGGCTGCCATTCGGCGCCACAAGGTGACCTCAATACGACTTTCCCCAACCGAAGTTAGGTACCCATTCACACCTGGGTGGAGTGAGGAAATTTTTGTAAAGTGCCTTTCCCAAGGACACAATGTCGGGCGCATGTCCAGACAGGTCTCCCGGTTCACAGCAGAATGATCTGCCACTATGCCACGCCATGTTAATGTCATCTCTTTTTATTCCCTAAGGCTGTGGAAATGTTCGGTGCTGATAAGCTGGAGATAGAAGGCACCACTGACAGAATGACTACCGACTACTGGGACTATGACTACTACGACTACAATGGAAAACAAAGGTATGAACAGAAGGGGTAACCTACTACTACTGTCATACATGTACTGCTCATATCACAAGATTGAGCATACTGCTGAAGTGAAGAATGTTATTTTGCCAAAAACTTGCAAACCACAACAAACATTTGCAAAGAAAAGCTCTGTTAATTCTTACTCAAACACATTCATATATATATAGTGACAGGAGTCTAAATCCCTCCTACTATAAAATTACAACATGATGTAACCCAACACCAGTTACCATGGTAACAGACGTCTGGTTCAGGTCATTGACCTTATTTGTTTGGAACGAAAGAAGAAGAAACAGAGCAAAAGCAATATGTTTCCTTCTGTAAACAGAATGAAGTATAATGTACTACATTTGTACAAGGATGATGACACTTGTTGTCTGAAGTATAATGTACTATAAGGATGTGTAACAGTTGTTGTCTGACAAGTACTTGTAACTTCTCCCCTCTGAAGGCCTGACTACATGAACAAGTGGGAGACAGACGACGACGACGACTATAACTGGGACGACTTCAACCCTGGGGACGAACAGGATGAGACCAACAACAAACCAGGTAAGACAACAGCCTTTCTTGTGTGTATTACAATCACTCACTAGAACTTGGTACTGGAAGGAAGAGGCTTGTCTCTGTGTTACACAAGAAAATTGCTACTCAAGCAACAGGTAAGACATCACCATTACTCACTAGAAGGGAACGGATGACCTTTTGGTGTTTTTACAGTTAAGACAGCCCAAGATAATCAGAAAGTGATCACATTAGCCAGGTGGTCCTTCTGTATCTGTATCAGTATAGCAGGTATAACTGCCCTTCAATGTAACACACCAGTCCTTATGTAAAGGTGGTCACTATCACAGGATTGACTGTATTTTTGATTGTAATGACAAATTTAGATACTAGTGATGGGAATTTTGGAATCAATTTTTTTTTTTCAGGAATGAGAAAAATATGGAAGGATAAAAGTATTTGAGAATTCTGTACTAGGTGTTTAATGCTTATTTTAAAATAGGCTTTCTCATACTTCTGACAAATATTTTCAAACAATACACACAACAAAATTAGCTTTCTCCTAGTTTGAAGCCCATGTGCTGATATCATAGGCAATGACTTTTCTGTTCTGTAATTTATCAGCAGCCCAAGCCCCAAAAGCTCCTGCAAAGAAAGTGCGACCTCAGCCGAGTGGACCCCGAACAAGCACAGCAAGCCAGGCTCTCTTCTATATCATGGTTCTTGGAGTCATCATCATTGTAAGTTGACCCCTTTTTGTCTCTTTACTGGCCACAGCAAGTAAATTTCATGGATGACATCCTTTGTTGACTCCAAATCTTATGTGGGACCAAAAAAACAAGATGGGCAACAAGAAACAAGATACTTTGCCCAACAACATTTTCAAAATATAGATCTTTTTAATGCTCTAACAAAAATTGAGGGGACAAAACATGGTATAATAGCCAACAATTCTTTTATTACAGGTATTCAAGAAGTGCAAAAAGTGACACAAGTGTGGTAGCTATAGCATCATGATTACAACTATACTCAATACTACCTCACTAGTGTCACTTCTTTAACTATACTCAAGGCATGATGACTTTGGGGAACAAAATTTTATTTCAAAATCAGGCAAAAATCTTGGATGCCATCCATAACATTTACTTGCTCTGGTCTTATGACTTTTCTAAGGTGTGGCGAACTATCAATATGTACACAAAACAATGTATATCTACTGGATTCTAATGGTATATGTTATACACCTTTGGTAATGGCTAATCACTGCGACTCTATCAGTTATAACTGGTGTACTACTAACTACTCTGTGCCTGCTATACTTTGCCATGATGACCATCTTTGCTGTTTCTTGGATTGTTCACCATAGATGGCCTACAATTTTTTTTTCAAAATCCGGCAAACATCGGGGATGCCATCCATTAAACAGTTACTTGCTCTAAGACTTGTCTATCTGCTATAACTGGTGTTCTCTTGGCTTGTTCTCCATAGATGGGCTACTTGCTGCTGAAGTATTGGCGAGGCTCCACCAGAAGCAGAACCTACAAGCAACTGCACAACAAAGAATACATTTAAACATAGCCTTAATAGAGTGCATTATGAAGCAGTTCAAACTGTAATTTCGGGACTTTCACCCAAAGTTTTGACTGTGCAACTCCAGTCTTTGTCAAGGAATTTCCTTTCAGTTTAACTGCTTCATAATGACTTCTACACAGATGAACTTTCAAGACATTAATAGAGTGTACATGAGGGATTAACATGAAGTACTTGTATTGGAAAATTGCTGCTTGAAAACAGAAATGCATTTCTTACTTCCACTTATGCACTGGATTTTGTGCATACACATGTATTTCTCTTCATTTTAATTTTCAAGCAATTGCAAATTTTGTTTTGTTTTCTTTTGTTTTACCTGAGCATTTGCAAAGTCTGATTTCAACTGTAATCCTTGGTGGTTTACCCTCATTCTAGAAAAGCTATGAGAGCATTGACAGGCATAGGAAAAGTTATGTTGTGTTTCTGATCACTGTCCCAAAAAATTAAGTCGGTATAAAAATGAAATGCATCAGCATACTCAGTCTGGTAATTCGTCATCATCATCATTCAACATCTTTCAACATTTTATTTATACAGATTTACATTGTACAAGCATTAGCATAGTTTTTGTAAACTGAACAAAGAAGTACGCATTATATAATTTCTATTGCAACAGAAATGTGGGGAACAATAATACAATGTTGTCATCACTCATATGTCAGATTGAAAATTTTTGCCAGTGTTCGACTCCTCCAAAAATTCTACTGTTCAAATATTATTTTGCTAGGCTTGGATGGGTGGCTGGAAACACAACATATTTTTTCCTAGGCCTACAGAGACATCCCTCTAGCTGTGTTTAAGGTGACGAATGTTTGTAATGACTCTGGCTGAAGTTCTGCCACTTGTTCCTAGATGGCGATTTTGTTGTACATGTACTGGAGGAAAAGGCCCATCACACAGTACCAAGGCTACAGACTCCTGTACAACAAGGACGAACCATGAGGTCACGGAGCAAGTGTAGGACTTCACTGGACCATTTCAAACATTAGTCCTAGTCCTAGTCTCCACCAGACTCCTTTGCAGGCTGAATAGATAGTAGAAATCGTCCTAAAAAGCCATATACAGGCAAACTGGACCCTCTATGGCTGGCCAACTCCCCTGGCCAGCTACATTCTTTTTTGGCCGATTTCTACAGTAACTATTTATTCAGCCTGCAAAGGAGTCTGGTGGAGTCTAGTTTATCAAAAAGATGCATGTAGAAAATATAAAACCAAATGTTGATAATGAATTTTTACAAACTTTGTGAAAGAAGTATATCAGGCTTCCAGTGCTCATTAACAATTATGTCATGATAGTGTTTTTTTTGTACTATATTTGTCATGTAGATTATGGGTATTTTTTCTTTCCAAGAGGGTTTTCAGGGTAATCTCCACTGATTTAATGTTAAGCTGTTTCTAGCTTCAATTTCCATTGTGTTATCAGACTACATATTTGAATACCACCTACTTAGTACCTATGATAAGTATATTAATTTATGTTTGTTTAGGTATATCTTACATCAAAGGTGTATATTTATTGTAGGTCATAGATTGACTGAAATACTGGAGCTGAACAAAGATACATTTCACACGTAACTTATATAAAAAAAGCAACATTAGCAAGATACCTCGTAACATTGGATGTTAAACGCTAAGTGCCTTAAGTTAACTTCCACACACAAATGACTTTGTGACAGCTTGAATGTGACAGTATAGCACAGATTTAAAAAAAAATAGAATGTTGTATTCATAAGACAGAATGCATGGTGTAACTATGAAGTCATCAAAACCACTCAGAAAAATCATGTTTGCAATCTACCATAGTCTACCTGGTGACCGTTTTATCAAGAACTGAAGTGAAAGAGGCTGAGCCTCAAATTATTGCAATCACATTTTACATCAGTCAGATTAACAGGTACATTTACTTTTGTCTGTCATGGGTGTTTCTGGAACTTTTTTTTGTTAACTATGCATCGAGATGAAGATTTTTGCTGCTATAGTAAAAGTTAAAATCATAATTAGCCACAGGTACACAGATTATAGGTATATAAGAGACATATCTGAGAAAGGTGACTGTTTGTCACAACAGGGTGACTCATAGAATATTCCACATACTTTCACATAATGGCATATCAAATATCATTGTACAGAAAGAAAGAAAGCAAATGTTTGTGTATTTTGGGAAGTTAAGGTATATTTATTCTTGGACACATGTACATGTACTTGCTATTGTGTTTATTTTTCTAGCAGAGGGAATAAAATGCCAGACTCTGAGGCAAAAAAAAGTGAAAAAGTGTTGAGTAAGGCTATTTGGAGTGAATGAACTATTACAGCATAATTATGGAATGCATGTACATACCTACATCCTGTTTTCACTTACACTTGGCAGCTTTACCATTTTGCAATGCGTTTTGAACATATTCATGTTTTTGTTGGCAATGGATTACTAGATGTTGACACAGGACTATTGTTAGTTACCGGATGTGTGTCACATTTAAGTGATACCTGGCAATATGAACTGAACAGAAGCATTCAATGCTGTGCCACCCTCTCCCCATTTGTTTCATGCAAGATGTGACAATTTCCAGATCTTCTAAAAAAAATGTCCATTCCCTTGTAGAATGTCCTTGTATTAAGTTACCATTTTTTTAATGAAGAGTTTCTGTTTCTTCCCTTATGTATATGTCACAGGGGAGATTGGAATCCAGGGGAATCCGGAACTCCCCTAGGGGAGATTGGAATTCCTATCTCCCCTAGGACAAGTGGGAATTATTACAATCTCCAATTTTAAAAGGAGAAATTCTGATTGCATCAAATGCTTTGGAAAATAGACTGAATTATTTCACACCTAAACTTTCAATCAAATTCAGCATAGGTAAGTGAATATGTAAATCAGACTCAGATATTTGCATCAGGCCATTGTGAGATAGTGAATCAAAAACCAGTTTTTCCAGTTAGTTAGTGACTTGGTATATAAGGGATTGTTCCCCATGTCAAGCCAGTCAAAGTGACAGCATACTGATCAAGTCATGGCAGAGGATGAACAGCAGCAGAAAGCAGATCTAGAATTCTACAGATTGGTTGAAGAGCATATCAGCAGTGTTGGGCAGAAAAAGAATGAGTTCTAGTATTTCTACTACTAATCTGGGATCAGAATATCAGGATTCCAATCTCCCCTAGGAGGATTCCAGATTCCCCTAGGAGGATTCCAATCTCCCCTAGGGGAGTTCCGGATTCCCCTGGATTCCAATCTCCCCTGTGACATATACACGTAAAACTCTATATGGGATGTATGACAACCAGTGTTGACATTAGCGATCTTATGATAAGCAAACAATTCACCTTATGGTAATAAGCAGTAAAAATACACTCTTAAATTAATTTCTGATTTTTGATTGACAATATTAAAAGCACAGGATACTAATGGAGTCAATATCTGATTTGCACCAGCTGTAGCTGGCAAATCAATAAGAAGGAAAAAAAGCTAAACCAAGCATTTTCAATTGCCCCTGTTTTATGTTAAGAAATTACTTAAAGTTTAAATTTTGGGTCCTGGAGTTGGAGAAAATGGAATACGCATTTATTTTAAACATGCTGGGATAGTGGGGATTAAATTCCATGGAGATGTAACAATTTACTCTCCATTCAAGGACTGGGACAACACTCGGCTAACATCAACAGCAGGCTTTACTCCGTGAAAATTTAACTTGGAACAGGTGCACACAAAAATCAATGCTCCTTTTGTACCCTTCGCCTTTGGTGTCGAAAAGCTACGACGGGTCAAACAGTTATGTAAACAAGGGCCTCGTACAATCACCTCTCAATCACACTTTTCTAAGTTACTTAGCTAACCTCCGACTTTTTTGCGGGATCTTTAATCTGGTTCTAGTGACACTTTAGAACCTTAAAGGTCAGTCGGTGCCACAAGTACAATATTGAGTCATCAGGTTTTGGCCACGTCACGCCACTGCTTGTCATATGAGCCATACCACTATCTATTGGGGTGGCATCTTCGTCAAGTAAATAAACTGTGTATTATATTCAACAAGACCAAAAGGCCCTCTATTTTATAAAAAAGAAAGTATTTTTGGTGATATTGTTGATTTGTGGTCAGGTTTTGGGGATTTGAGAGGTCACAATTCCTGGATAAAATTATCGATCCTACCCTCGAATCGATTGGAACATTCCAGACGATTAAAGATGGCGTCGACAGGTAGTTGTAGAACGCAGTGCGCGTCGAAGCTCGCCAAAATGAAGATTTTTCTCGTCCTTCTAGTCTTCTGTGCATCAACTTGCCACGGTTTCTCGGTCGAGAGGATACCCAGGCAAAAGAGGAAAGCGTTATCCGTTGGAGATGTGGCTATTCAGGAGTGGATAGACAAAAAGTGTACGTTCCCTTCGCCAGAATTCCAGAAAGTTTTCCTGTTCACATGTAACAGTGCGTACGAAGCAGACACAGATATGCCGCCTATTACGCCGATATGTGAACTTTTCCGCAAACAGAGCCTGTCTCTCTGCAACGAACCCGTCCAACTCCAACTTGGCGCGTCAACGACTGAGGAACTGTGTCACAGTTTCAGCAAACTGAGCGATGAAATCTCCAAAGAACGGAAGAAATATCTTGGTGAGTGAAAATTAGTTTGCTTTAAAGAAGCTTGATCTTTATGTATAAAACATGTCAGACAATTTTTTCATTGTCAACCTGTCAGCAGAGTAAGTGAAAAAAATAGATGTGACATAGCGTGAAAATGTACAAAACTGCTGACTTTTATTATTTAAAAATGAGGTTTTATTCCAGGTTCAAATACAGTTGATGGGTCCAACTATCAGACAACGTAAAGACAACTGGTCAAGGAATATTAGAGAAGAATTGAAAAGATACAGATCATGATAATATCTGACATGTCTGACAGCTTGAATAATCTCTTGTGTCTTAATTAGCATTATACATGAAACTGTCATGTCACTAGTAGTCATATTGTCTTAAACACATTTGCCATGATGTGTATGGTATACCTTCTGCATTCTGCATTCTGCATTTTTGCAGAACCCGGAAAAAAAATATTTCTACCACTGTAACATCAAAGTTTCAAACACGCAATATGACGAAGGTTATTTTTTGGGGACACACTTACATGTCAAGAGTTATCATAACAAATTTATTATAAGTTCTAAAATTGTATCCCATCCCTCAGGTTTGTTCCTGTTGTCAGACAATGAGGACACATGTAAAACAGTCTGTGATGAGAGTCACCTCGCTGTGTGTGATGGAGTCTTCCAGCTGCTCCAGAGCAGAGAGATCCAAGTTGGTAAGTAACATTTGAGTCTGACTTGTTATAGTAATCTTAGAGTGAGTAATCATACTACAGGTACCCCAAGAAGTGAACACAAGTGTGGGGTCGTGTGGTGCACACCCAAGAGGTCGCGGGTTCGAATCCTGCCCATGTCACCGATCTTGTGCCCTTGGGAAAGGTACTTAACACGACTTTCCTCACTTCACTCAGGTGGAAATGAGTACCTGGCTTCAGTTAGGGTCATCCCTCGAATAGGACGTTAAATGGAGGTCCCGTGTTTGGGGAGGGCCACACCCCACGCATGTTAAAGAACCCAGCACACTTATTGAAAAGAGCAGGGGACCTTCCCGGTGTGAGTGGTTCAAACCTTACAGTCCGGGCTTACGCAGCTTGTACATGTACGCACGTGTACGAACTGGTGTGTTACGCCTAAAGGCGGTTTACCGGTTACGCGAAACACATGTACATGACGTACATCAGACCAGGACCCTAGCCTGCATTCGTTTTTCCATTGATTGCAAGAACTTTGTGGCGTGTGAAGGAAAATTTTTGGTCAATTTTGTCCATCAAGGATTGGTTTAAAAATTTTAAACCAATCCTTGATGGACAAAATCGACCAAGGAAAAAATTAGTAAGGACCCCAAACAACCACTCTCAACCCTATGAATGATTTGCCCTCAAAATGTGGGAAATTACATTTAAAAAGGCTTGAAAATCCAAAATTTACCCCTGGAAGAACAATAGCCTGCAGAAATTGTTTTTGCTCGCAAGTTGCAAGTCGCAACGTAAACGTAAGCTTCAGCTTTGCCTGTGTCAAATTGACTCCATGTTTGCGAGAACCGTTGTTCTATTGTTGTACATGCCAAAGGTGGTCACCTTTTCCCATAGCCCTCATGTAGGTCAAGTGACGTTAAGAACTCTTCACAAACCCGAGAGTATCACTTGGCCCCACAACTTTCCAGTCACTTTCTTTAACGGTGTACAGAGACATCAATCAAATGTGGAAGTTAAATGTTTTCTGTGTTTAGGACTGTCAACAATAATATTTACCTACCTAACATCCTGAAGGTGTATCTCTTCATCTTTGTTTCAAGTACAGGTTTTTTGTACATCCTGTTCCAATAGTTTGGCCAGCCCAGTTTTCTGTCCAGTACTGAAGAGGGACTAAGGCTAGCCTCCACCTGTCCAGATTACTTAGTTAGTAAACAACACATGTACAGGTTCAAAAGCAGCAAAATTTAGCCAAACAGGGAGTTTAGCCACCACAGAGTTTATTTTCCGGGGCCTTGTGCAGTGGGGAAATTAATGTTCCCCTGGACTGACTTTGCTAGCCAATTTTGTTCTTCCCTTTTTTGCAGAATTCTACAATCTGCACCCCCAAAAATACGATCTTTCAGTGTTACTTAAAAGAATGTTGATAGTAAATTCTTTAAATATAGAGCTTGGTCTGTCTTTTTTAATGTTATTCAATGTGCAGTTCCCTCCCTCCCACTATATAGCATCAATTTATCAGGTCAAACATGGTTCTGTTCTTATTGAAGATTGACTACTGTTATTTCAAATAAATAGTTCAGGTACAGGTTTAGTATACATGTAAATCAATAAAACTTATATATACAATAAGGACCTCATCAACAGGAATATTTCTCTGTCAGTTGCAGAAGATGTCCACCAGAGCAGAAATCTGTTTGCTGACACTGAGGCAGAAGAGACTGAGGACGACAAACTTCCTCAGGATGGCCCTCAACAGGACGACACAGATGGCACCCTTCTCAAGGATGAGACGGCACAAGATGCTGCAACAGGTGTATATCAATGGTTTATTGTGACGACTTAAAACAACCATACAGTGGCAGTTATCTAGCTGAATTACAGTATGGCATTACAAAGATTATAATATTTACACTTAATACACTATTAATAAAGTTCTTTTAAAGTTCTTTTAGGTAAAGTTGAATGAAAGTTTATTGCAAATACATGCCCGAGGGCTAATTGCAGTTACAAACAACATAAGAAAGAAAATACAGTGGTATGTGAGACTATATCTACGTCTAGCATTATACTATATTCTACAACATGCATGGTACTAGATTTACTGGGTTTGACTTCTTCTTTTTAGGCAGTGGAAGACGAATTTACCCACTTCTTCTATAATATGTGGGTTCTTTGATTTTAGTAGTAAAAATGTTTTTTTGTGGTAGGGAACGGTGGGGAAGTAAGGGAGTAATTAATACTTACACAATACAACTTAAAATGCCTTACGTTAGGCCTGCACAGATTAAAATCATTTCATTAATATTTCATTAATAGGTGGAAGTCTTAACCAGGATGAGACAGCGGGTGGAGATCTCCCGGAGGATGAAACTGTGAAAGAAACGGAGAAGGAGACAGACAACCCTGACCAGGAGGGTAAAGAAACGAGACTGTTTGGTTTGAACTTTTTGTTCTATATCACATGAGGTACCAAGGATGAGGGAATTGTGTTCACTGAACAGTTTTTAGTATAATGTTTACTTCTCAAATTCTGAGTAGTGCAAGTAAAATTTGTCTGGTGCAGGTAATTTTCATTGTTACCTGCAGTGCATGTGTGCAGAGAAAAGGATTTTGGAGCCCTACATTGGATTATATTAGGCTCCCTGGCAATACAACTTTCTTATCTTTTAAACGACTAGCATGGCCAAAAGCCATAATCTTTCTTCCAGTTTACATAGTTTCATAATTGTGTCACAAATGTAATATCTCAAATTTATTTCTGAACACAAACTTTCAGTTCTTGCCCATAATATTTTTGTCAAGGGCAAGTACTAAGAAACTGCAGTGCTGTTTTTATTGTATCACAATTTTTTTTGTTCAATTTTCCTTTTTTCTTTCACATGACAGAGAATGTTGATGCAGACAAAGACCCTGACGATGCCACAGAGAATAAGGACCTCCCAGCTGACCAGGAGGAAGGTGACAAGGATACAGAGATACATGGTGATGATGATGACACGAAAGGTGATAGTCTGCCTGTTGTTTCTTATATCTGACATGCCATTATGTTAATTCTTGCACTGTAATTGTGACAAAGGAACTGTTTATAAGGGAGCTAGAAATGTTTAAACAGCACATTGTGAAAAGGTAACAAACATACAAATTTGAAAGATTTACTGTATTTCCTGCGTACTACCCACCTGTTTCCAAGATGAATAGATAAATAAATTTCTTTTATACTTTCTTACTTTATAATAGCATTAATTTAATAGCATTTTACTTGGTTTATGAGTCTATGAACACAATCACATAAAACAGTATCTCGAAAGGTAACATTTGCAAAGCAAATGCGTAATGTTTACCTTTGCATATTGTCTGCTCTGTTAATTCTTACTCAAACACATTCATATATCAAAAGGAGTCTAAATCCTTCCTGCTATAAAATAGCAACATGATGTAACTCAACACTAGTTGTCATAGTGACAGACGTCTGGTTCAGGTCACTGACCTTATTTATTTGGAGAAGAAGAAGAAACAGAGCAAATACAATATGTTTTCCTTTGGTTAACATTATGAAAAATCCTTTTTCCCAATGTTCTCCTCTCAGGTGAAGAGATACCTGATGATGGAGGCCCTGGTGGGGTTGGAGGGGAGGAGTTGGTAGACAAACGGGGACCTGATGAGGACAAGCCTGTGGAAGAAACTGATGTTGGAGGAGAGGCTCCTATTGGTCAGGACCCAGCTGACAAGCCAATCGCAGATGCTGGCAGTCAAGGAGCGGCTCCGATTGGCCAGGACCCAGCTGATCAACCAATAGGAGGGGTTGGTGATGCTGGCGGCATTCAGGCAGCGGCTCCCATTGGTCAGGACCCAGCTGACAAACCAATCGGAGATGCTGGCAGTCAGGGAGGGGCTCCCATTGGTCAAGGAACAGGTGACCAACCAATCGGAGATGCTGGGAGTCAAGGAGGGTCTCCCATTGGTCAAGGAACAGGTGACCAACCAATCGGAGATGCTGGCAGTCAAGGAGGGGCTCCCATTGGTCAAGGAACAGGTGACCAACCAATTGGAGATGCCGGTGATGCTGGAAGTCAGGGAGGAGCTCCCATTGGTCAAGGAACAGGTGACCAACCAATCGGAGATGCTGGGAGTCAAGGAGGGGCTCCCATTGGTCAAGGAACAGGTGACAAACCAATTGGAGATGCTGGTGATGCTGGAAGTCAGGGAGGAGCTCCCATTGGTCAAGGAACAGGTGACAAACCAATCGGAGATGCCGGTCTTGGAGGAGGGGCTCCCATTGGTCAGGGAACAGGTGACCAACCAATCGGAGATGCCGGTCTTGGAGGAGGGGCTCCCATTGGGCAGGGAGCAGGTGACCAACCAATCGGAGATGCTGTTGATACCGGTCTTGGAGGAGGGGCTCCCATTGGTCAAGGAGCAGGTGACCAACCAATCGGAGATGCTGTTGATACCGGTCTTGGAGGAGGGGCTCCCATTGGTCAAGGAGCAGGTGACCAACCAATTGGAGATGCTGTTGATACCGGTCTTGGAGGAGGGGCTCCCATTGGTCAAGGAGCAGGTGACCAACCAATCGGAGGAGCCGTTGATACTGGTCTTGGAGGAGGGGCTCCCATTGGTCAAGGAGCAGGAGGAGAACCAATGGGAGAGACAGACAACACTGGCAACAAAGAAATAGCTGAAGCTGGAGACAAATATCAAGAAGACACTGATCCAGAAAACCAGCTCGCGCCCCCAAACTTCGAAGACGGACAAGCAGGAGAAGGTGAGGAGGCAGGCATGGAGATCGAGGAGGAACTCGAAGAGGAAGAAGATGATGATGATGCAGATTATCCCGATGAGGATCGTGGTCTGAATGAGGATAGGGGAGAGGGTGAGTACGATGGTGATGATGATGATGATGATGAAGGCAATGAGTATGATGGAGATGATGATGATGCCAATGCTTACGATGGCGATGATGATGGCAATGAGTATGATGCTGAAGATGATGAAAATGAAGATGAAGAGTATCCCAACAAAGTCAACGTTCAGTACCCGGACCTCGATGATGATCTCGAGGATGATGGCCCTTTTATTAAACATGATGATGGTCATCCCATTATTGCAGGTGGCGGGGGTGACTGGCCTGCAGAAGGTGCCCACCCCCCTGGCAATGATCCGGCCCAAGTGAAAGGTAAGAAAAATGACACCACGCGTACACTACACTTTTATTTCTTCACTCCTCCTCTCACTAAAGGCTTTACCTTATATGACTACTGTATGAAAATCCAAATGTTTTTTCTGTAATTTTTTAGTGCATTTCTTAGAGGAAACCTTAGCATGAGTTCCTTCAATCTTACTGCAATGTTTTTGACTAGTCTTAGTGACTCTTCCGCAGCCTCCAAGCTTTTATAACCAAGTCTTGTAACTTGTTTGACAAGTGTGAAAATGACGGAAATTTTGTTTGACATTAGTCATCACAGAAAACTTGAATCATGATTCACACATTTGACAGTATTCATAGTATCACACTCTGTTCGTTGACTACCTGTACTCTTGTCATCACAGTCTTCCACCTAATATTACTCATGACTGACTTTCATCCTGTAGTCTACTAGTAGCAGTGAAGCATTTATTAAGAAACAGCCAAGCACAGAAGACAGTAGAGAAATACAATTAAGGGGACAGCTTCAATCTTGACTAACACTAACTTCTTTCTCCTCTGCTAACTCGGCTGTTATAAGACTTATAACCTGATATAACAAGCATGCTGTGTTAGACTTTATGTGGCAGGCTTGTGCTTATACCGCATAGTGACTTACAGTAGGAGGTCTGGCTGATCTAAGGTGGGTGAACATAAACACCTCTTCTCTCTCACATATGCACCTAAATCTGCTTCTCAATGTAGAAATTAACCCCAATATCAAGACATTCTCATTTAGAGTCTAACTAACCTACAATACTTGAAACACATGAGCATTTCTGACAGTCATTTTCAAACAAGGCTTGTTACATGTACTTGTACTTTAATGTTGATGTCACTATAGTTAGGTGGATTGGCTGGAATTACTAGAAAGTATTGAAGTAGCAGTTTATACATAGATGTTCTGATGACCAATTGGAATGAAACTGTTGAGAAGTCCAGCATGTAAGACATAATGTACATAACTTTCTGTTTCTTGTGAAGCATAATATACACTATTTTGTGTCTTTTCTTTGTTACAGAGGACCTCAGAGCTCAGGCTAATATCTATGACTTGGAGGACGAGCCAAAACAAGGCCACTTCATGGCGTATTTCGTGACCTTCTGTGTGTTAATCGTACTCGGATATGTCACCTACCACAATAGACAAAAGGTAAACCTTCTTTTACCTGCACATTAAGTACATTGTACAATGTAGTAAACTTAGTACAAATTCTTGTCTAAAGACTGATTGAATAACATATGATTATATAATAAAGCTTAATTGTAGGGGCATTAATGTACAATAAAGATTTTTCATTTATATACATTTTTTAAAAAAGACAACAACAATCTGGGACACGATTTTTCATGTATTTAATATTATTGTTCTCAAATATCTAAACTTTGAGCTGTATTTACTGTCACCAGATATAAATTATACATTGTAATGCTGGCAATAGTTTCTGTACAGTTTTTAGTATGATTCATACTTCCTAAATTCTGATCATGAGTGGAGCAGGTAAAATTTGTCTGGTGCAGGTAATTTTAAATGTTACCTGCAGTAGTGCAGGTATGCAGTAAAATTACTAAAAAAACTTTCATGTACAAAATTGGTGGGCTACGCCTAAAGGCAGTTTACGGGTTATGCAAAACAAACAAAAGTATTTCGAGCCCTGTGTATACACTGAATTTGAAATGAAACAGACCAGTCCTTCACTCCTTCCCCTGTATTTGTTGCACAGATCATAGCCATCATCATAGAAGGCCGTGCAGGTTTACGTGACAGGAAAAGTCGGCGACCCAGCGGCGGAGGCTACAGGAAGCTGGACCAGAATGTGAGTGAAGCTATGCCAAGCATAAAGAACGCTGTTTTCTAGGGAACAAAGGTCAGACAACATTGACTTCCGGCTAGGAGTGGGTACCGGTTCGGTCTGATCAGGTCCAAGTCCAGATTCAAGTCCTGATTTTAGTATTATTGTAACAGTAAAAATAAGGTACATTTGTACATGTAATACTACACTGTGTCATGTATATCATATTTTGGAGAGCAAGACACAAGTACAGGTCTCCAAGAGTGCTACAAATTGAGTTTAAATTTACTGTAATAGTGCATTGGAATGATTCAATGTACAAGCATAGTATGTATTTATTATGCTAACTTTGTTGATTCAGGGTTATTTTTTTTACCTTTTATGGCCAGATTACCTGATACTGGTATGATGCATAATATATTTTAACTTCATTATGAGTCCAAAAAAATAACTGGATCATGATTCTAATTTTTGGGCACTCAGTTCTTGGAATCCGATGTTATTTGGATCCGGTTTAGCTGAACCAGTACTCACCCCTAGTTACAGCCTTCACTTTCTGACTCAAAACCAGATTTTAAGAACACACAGTTCAGCCACTGGGAGAAAAAAAAATTGGTATTCTGTTTTTTTGTCAAAATAATCAGAAAAGGGTGTTTTAAATTGTATGACAGAAGCAGAGGTGCTTTTAAGCATCAGAGGGCTTTCTCACTTGAAACAAAGTATTTTCAAATGTTCTATCTGGTTTTGAGTGAGAAAACTATTAGATGATTGTCCAGTAGAAAAATGACAAATATTTTTTACTTACAAGATTTGAAATTGATGTAAAAGTTCTCAGATTAGTCACTTACTGCCAATGGGTAATGTTTTTTTTTTGTACAAATACATTGTACTACTGTAACAATGTTTGTAATGTAAACTATGTTCCCAGCACATCTAATTGCTGGTCTGTAGCCTGTTCAAGTTTTTGATTTGCTTGGTTACCTTGGAGGAATGGCATTTGTTATGCTTTGATATGCAGCTTAATAGGATAGTCTACAACATAGAATGCCTGGCAGCACTAGCCATCCTCTGTGAACTGCATATTTCACATATCCAGTTTTAGCTGCACTTCTGCTTCATTCTGCTAGGTGGTGCATAACATGAAATGTTGGTTGTAATTTAGTGCTATTGTCCACCACTCTTTGCACACTTCATGTTTCCATTCCATAAATGCACATTTCCTTGTTAAAAACATCTTACATGTTGCTCTTTTTGTTTTTCCTCCCTGCCATAGTAACACCTGTGTGAGCATGTGTAAGGGGTTAAGGTGATACATGCAAGCAGCAAGACAGACCGACTGAAAGATTCACATGTGGGGCATGACAATAAAAAAGCTGTTATAGTTTGTTGTAAATAATGTTACCTTAAATTTGATGACTATATGATAGTGCATGTACGAGCTTTCTGTACTGAGGCTTAAAATGATGGTGGCTCTTCTTGCTAGGCTCAGCAGTTGTTTTAGATTGTAGAAGTGGCAATTTTGGCCAATTCTTAGCCAATAACTTGTACATGTAGTTGTTAGCTTAAGATATTTTTCTATCAGATTGAATGTAGGTCCTTGCATCATTTTTGGTGTTTTGGTGGTGGTAGTTTACTGTCTCAATTGTTTTATTTAATAGCTCATGAGGGGAAAAACCATTTCTGCTTCTTTAACAGGTGCCAGTGCAGCCACACAAGCATTCACTCTGATAGTTACTGTACAGTCCCTGTAGTGTGACCAGAGAAAATGTACCTCTCTGAATCAATCTGTTGAAGATGCCACTGAAAAATACCAAGGATATTCTACCCTTTTTTATAGACACATTTAGTATGATTGTGTGATGTTCCAAGAGATTAAAGAGGGTTGTTGTTTCAGTAGACAGAGATCAAAATTACAAAATAGTGCATGACGTTTGTTTAGAGTTAAAACTTGTGTTCCAACACAAGAGAAACTGTTCTCATCTAGAGCTTTCGACCAGTCACTCTGGTCTTCCTCAGTAGACTGACCCAGTGAGACCTGTCACATGGCTTCTTTGAACTGTGACATCAACACTGGGTCAATCTACAGTAACTGAAGAAGACCAGAGTGACTGGTCAAAAGCTCTAGGTGAGAACAGTTTCTCTTGTGTTGGAACAAATTAAATTTTTAACTCTAAACACCTAACTAACAAGCTTAAGTTGACACAGGTGAACTTTCATGATGATATTGCATGTTGTTGTTAGAGCATATTATGTACATCTATCTTTAATTTGCTGGTGTTGAGATTATGTAAAATTTAATGTGAAACTGTCCAAAGCAGGGTGTTTAGACTGCTATATTGTATGCAATACTGTCTTAGGGGGCATTTATTTATTCCTACTATGTTTGAAAATCTAATGGAAGCTAATTAAAATGTTGCAGTACTACTAGTTCTCTAAAAAAAACTACAAAACTGCATGGTACATCATATTTTGTGGCTTTTGGATAGCAAAGTATTTAGAAAAGTGTGCATTGTGAGAACTGTCACAGATCTAGAATGCTACATGTCATTGAGTTATTATTAGTTTGGTGGCTACAGGTTTTATAAAGTTGTACAAATTCTTTTCTTTTTCTTACTTACATTTTATCTGTAGGCTTAATGTGTACACCGTAGGAAGGTACTGGTAATAACAGCATTCAAATTACTACTTATCTTAACTGTTGAGAAAAATTTGAGATATCTGCTGGCAAGAACCCTAAGTATACATGTATGGACTCAGTAATGTTGATCTGACTTTACATTTTCAATCTGTTAAGGGTTGTACACTATATTGTAGAGATGTACTTTGATTTACATATATGATTGCTAGTATATCAGTATCATATCAAACCTTTATGTTAGAAAGTATTCAGTGCCTTTGTGATATATTTTTCAGTGTACCTCAATTAATGTTATCTTTTGTTGGTGAAAAAGTAGGTTTGAATTCCTTAAAACAAGTTTGATTTCATTGTTTTGATTACAAAGGTGTAGAACAATGTGGAATGTAATGTGGTTGACTTTTCTGTGATAACCAGTAGTTGAGTAATAATAATAGAAAATTATAGTGCCTTACTCTTGTATGTATGTAAGTACACATGCAGAAATGTGTTTTGTGGTTAAGTATATCTACTAGTACAAAGTACATTTAATGTGAATGTTGTAAGATAGGGATGCCATCATCACCATACATCTGGAGCAAAGCCAGTGGTGTAGTTGAGGCATATGGCATTGTTGTTCTTTTTACTAGACATACCTTTTTGAGACATTGGGATTCTGTGAGAATGTTGTTTTTTTCCTTATTAATGTTATGCAAGGATGTCTAGATTTAAATCCTTGTTTTATGGGAAACTTTTGTATGTGAACAATTTACTAATAGGTCATCCCTGATTCATCATTGAAGGTTTAATACAGATAGAACACTGAAGAGTTAGACATTTTAGATAGCCTCTATCTTCCATCTTTTACTGAATACGAGTCTGAGGGCAAGTATAACTTGTATATACTATTAGATATCTTTCTCAATTTTACATATCAATTCAGATACTCATACATATACAGACTATACTTGTATTCAGACCCATTCTCAGTTACACATATAAGGTAGTGGATGTTATTTGAAATGTCTGACATTTATAAATTTATCCAGTAGCAAAGTTAGTAGTCACTTATTGTATCATAACTGAAGTGTCCCACAGGGCTTCTTACTAGAAAGTATATAAGAAAAGCCTGTAAAGAATTCATGACTGCATAAGAGGCTTGCATAATTAGTGTAGATTGCTTCAAAATACTAGTATTGCAGCATTTTGTCCCTACATTTGCAATGTTGGCGTAGAGATTTTTCTTACTTTTGGGTGAAAAGTTGTATGCTTGTTTTTTTTTTTCCTTATTTTTGTTTCAATTCAAAACAGATACTCTAAGATTGTTTTCAACAACTGCTTGAGCTATATACTATGGCCTGCTATATGAACTTTTGGGTGTTAGGATTCTGTATTAAATGCAAATATCAAATTTTCAAATGTCACTACACTTGACTGTGATATAAAATAGATACTAGTTCATGTTGGTGATTTGAAATCGCTATTAGTAAGTAAATTTATTTGATTTTACAATTTACTTCATGTAGTGTTACCATTGACTGCATCTGAGGCAAGTTTAACTTTGCTGAGTTTTGATATAATGTCTAAAATGCTTCCACTATTGCAATAAAATGTCCTAAAGTTTGTACTTGTAGAATTCTGGGGTTAAAGAATATATACTGATGACACTGACTCGTTTTTGTTTCTTCCTTTAGTGTACCATACATAGGGAATGAGTAAAGAGACTCTTTTTACACAACCAAGTATTTTAATAGTTTTGTTCAGCCGACATTTCGGTGACTGTCACCTTCCTCAGGGCAATTCTGACTGGTTCACATTGCACTGCAGCACAGGTGTCGCTGCCATAGATGCATTCCCAAATGTACAATATTTACATATCTGCAAAGTCAGAATTGTCCTGAGGAAGGTGACAGGCAGTCACCGAAACGCCGGGTGAATAAAAGACTTGGTTGTGTAAAAAGAGTCTCTTTACTCAGTGTCTTACCAACCTGATGAAACTATTCATGGACATACGTAAGGAAAAACAAAGATATCCTTATAATAGTTACCAGCACAATAAAGACGAGATCTGGGTGGTTGGTGATTCAATAGTGCAATGTTTTATAATAATCACCAAAGTTACAGAGATTGCACCCATATACAAAATGTTTTCCTTGAGATATGAATAATGACTGAAATATACATTGGCCGCCTTTTGTACAATGTAGTATGATTTTCGATCTTATTAAAATGTCCCAATCGATTTGGCACAAATATTACTGCAAATTGACCATGATAAAATCAGATCCTGCAGCCATAAAAAAATGTGATAATTTGTCATTAGACAAATTTACGTTTTCTGTAGTATCTGTTATATATGTAACTCTTGCTATTTTTTATGTTCATCATTGTCCCTCCAATACATTATTGGTGTTTTAAGTTTATCTTTTCCCAGATAATGGCCTTAACAAAAAACAATAATGTACATCAATATATTGTACACATACTGTACTGCACATTTCAGTACATGAAGCCTAAGCTCATCCAATCATTCATATTTTTCATGATTTATCATGGTAAATACAACACAGTAAATACTAACTAAAAATGGACCAGCTTGTTTCAATGTCATGCCAATGGAATGGTACTGGTTATTTTACAGAACTGGATAAAAAACTAGAGAAGTAACATTTGCAAAGCAAATGCATAATGTTTACCTTCGGACATAGTCTGCTCTGTTAATTCTTACTCAAACACATTCACATACATGTACTACTAGTATATGGTGACAGGAGCAGAACAGACCATGAAACTGCAACATTATGTAACCCAACACCAGTCACCGTGGTGACAGACGTCAACAAATCATGTCATTGGTGAGGTCATAGGTCACTGGAGAAGAAGAAGAGGTAGAAACTGAGTAAAAACAATATGTTTTCCTTCAGTAAACATAATTACAGACATTTCAAGTAGTTTACCTACATGTAGATTGTCTTACTGCTACTAATAATATTCATAATCATATTGGAATGGTAGTGGTTGGAAAACTTTAAGACAGACCATTATTATGAATTCCTCTGAGTCTGACAACATTTGACAACAGCTTTTGATGCCATTTTCCCATAAGGAAAAAAAGGAAGGTAGAAAAATCCTGTACAGTATCAGTTCGACATTCAGAAGGCTGATTGGAGGTTGGCTATATCTATTTATTCCAAGTTCCTAGTTGTTACAGTTTTTCCATGTAACAATGCAGTGGTTTCATTAAAAGTTCAAAATTCATTGTTTGAATATCAACCCAGCCTTTTGTGTTGACTCCATGGCTCCTATTGTAGCATTTAGGGCTATAAGAGGATGCCTAGGCCTGTTTTTATTTTTTTCGCCCGCCCGTTATTTTTCTAGAAAAATCTGTTAACCAAGAAATTAAATTGGTGTGGCCTAAGGAAAAAAAGGAAGGTAAAAAAATCATTTAGACATTCAGAAGCCTGATTGGAAGATGGCTATATCTTTTTAATTTTTTTTTTGCCCTGTCACTTCATTTCCTTCTGAAAAAATCTGACAACCAACAAATTAAGAAGTAAAAAAAAATCCTGTACAGTAACATTGAGAAGACTGATTGGCTAAATCTTGAGGTAGAATTTCTTGTAGTGCAGCCAGACTGCGATGAGGACCCATAACGTTGTGCCGACCAGGTCTGTGGCCAGCTGAGCCGAGTGTGTGGGGGAGGCTGCCCACTGGAAGGGCAACTTGTCTGCACACAGTTCATGTCCGATGTACACCAGGATGGAGTTCATACCTACAACACAGGGAAAACAACTTTAGTGTCTGTCACACATGGCTGAATATGGAATCAGGACGACTCAGACCATTACCAACTCCATTAAAATGACACAAAATATAATGTTACCAAAATAGCAACTTCATCTTCTTCTTTTTCTCTATTCAAGGAGTTTCAGACATATTCAAAATCATATTTTCCAAGAACTATCATAGAGTGGAACTCATTGCCACCGAGTGCAGTTGGGGCATCATCACCTTTAAACAACTCCTGCAGTTAGATGTAATTGGGTGTAACAGGTCGTTAAGTGTAACATAGCTAGCTTCCACCGCGCGCCTACAAAGCTGGTGTGTTATGCCAAAGGGCAGTTGTACTGGCTATACAGAGACAGAAGCTGGTGTGTTACGCCGAAGGGCAGTTATACCGGCTATACAGATACAGAAGCTGGCGTGTTACGCCGAAGGGCAGTTGTACCGGCTATACAGATACAGAAGATGGTGTGTTACGCCGAAGGGCAGTTATACCGGCTATACAGATACAGAAGCTGTTGTGTTATGCCGAAGGGCGGTTGTACTGGCTATACAGAGACAGAAATTAGGTACAGTGTGACATATCCCTTACCGACTTGGTAAAACGGAGCGCCTGTCCACCACTGTTTGACATCGATGATGATGTAACACGCAGACAGCAGCACAAAGGCGAAACAGGACAGGACCAGTACAAATGATACCGACCTGGCACAAAACAAAATCATTGATTGCAACTTCAGTTCAACAGTGAATTAACATAATTATTACATTTCTATATGTTTGGGACCACATTGTAGATACCGTTGCCTGTAACCATGTAGATATGTAAATATGCATCTATGTTTGTTGAGCCCAAGAACCACAGGACAGAGTAAAATGGCAGGCTGCCATCAAGCCCCAGCATCAGTGTGCAAGCATGTCGATCCCTTTTTACGAGGAACAACAGACGATAAACCGGATAGTGAGAGAGATATTAAGCAGTGACACCTGTGCTGTGCAATGTAAACTTTTCTTTGGTCCCCTGTCTTAGACAAGTTTAACTGTAATTATAGTAGTGTTGATTGACATAACATATTTCATATTTGTCCTGTACTTCACAAGTAACACAAATTCATGTACATGGTGCTGTACTGGTTAAGTATGCTTACCAAAGGTTCTTGTTAAGTGGAATCCATCCTTCGTTCTGCCTGCCATCACACAGTAGAGCACCAATGGCTCCCTGTAAGTGTAAAACAGCAACCATGTTCACAACCTGTTACATCTACACAATACACCTACACCAGTCCTACATGTACAAGTGCATAACATCACAAAGCACGTCGGCAGAAAGTACTGCACCTGAGCAAAGCCTGTATTAAATGTTTGTGCATAGTACTTTGGAGAAACATCTCATATAAGGTTGTATTAGGGTATATAAGGTAAACACCCTGTCTGTAGTTTCCAAAATTTATGTCCGAAAACATATCCTCTGCAACAGGCAAAACTCTGATGCAACGGTGACCAAACATCCATCGAAAACCATGAAAAATCAGCGTTTTGCACAGGCGTAGTACGTTCTGCCGACGTGCTTCACATAGTAGATCTACACAATGATAAAGAGAAACTAGAGAAGTAACATTTGCAAAGCAAATGCATAATGTTTACCTTTGGACATGGTCTGCTCTGTTAATTCTTACTCAAATACATTCACATACATTTACTACTAGTATATGGTGACAGGAGCAGAGCAGACCATGAAATTGCAACATTATGTAACCCAACACCAGTCACCATGGTGACAGACGTCAACAAATCATGTCATTGGTCAGGTAAGAGGTCACTGTTTGGAGAAGAAGAAGAAGAAACCGAGCAAAAACAATATGCTTTCCTTCGGTAAACATAAGTATACAAGTCCACTAGAACAGTAGTTACCGTGGCTGCAGCCCATCCTAGCCATCTGCCCACCCTCTGTCCATTCTGTGTGTACGTCAAGAGGATCTTTCCTGCCTGAAACACAAGAAACAAGACATCGGACATTGTACTGGGTAGTGCTGCATACCTAAACCCAATTTTAGGTTCAGGTCCGGATTCAAGTCCAGAGGTTTAGGTTCAGTTCCGGACTTGTAAGTCCAGACCTAAACCCAAGGCATATACAAAATTGCATGTTGGCAACCTTGCAATGTTGTTTGGGCAAAACTTTGGCCACATAACATGGAGGCCGACACTTGATGATGCCCGATGGCAATGTTTTCTTCATTTTGCAATCTATGGGAGGTGGTTTGGAAAGAAAAGGGGTATGTGAAATGGTCTTTTTGGTAATAAGTCCGGACTTGGTTATTGACTTTTAGGTTTTTTTGGACTTGAACCTAAACATTATTACATGTCCGGATCCAAGTCCAGTGAACTGGTATGCAGCCCTAGTACTGGGTATCTGTTTTGGAATGTTTTGGAACTGAACTGTATGATTAGAGAGAATGCCCCATTGATTAACATCACACAACTGACTTCTATGCATACCATAATCTGAGTCAATCAAAAGCCTATCCAAAAAGTATACAAAAATCATAAGACACACATTAACATACAGTTTGTTGTATGTGTATTCATCACTGGCATACATAAAAATAATTAGGTAATAAATTTGAAGTGATAAAAAGTACCTGAAGCCCCAGGAAGCAGAGTAGAGCAGACGTCAGTGTGCCAAGAAGTCCTTCCGGGTCAAAGGGTACTTCTGTCTTGTAAACAGTCTACAAAATGCAAAACATGACAAAATAAATTCTATATTTTATTGTACATGTCAGCTGGTACATGTATACCCTATAAGGCATTCACTGTTCACTGCAAAAACATTGTATATAGCACATAGCCAATTACTGAACTTAAGATTCTATTGATAGAATTGAACACCAAGTTAGCTGACTTCTCACCATTCTCACAAAAATAAACAAATATTGTTTATAAACATTTATAAACAAACAAAGTTTTTTTTAGTTATTCTAGAAGCAAACCAACAGACAAAAAATCTGGGAACAAGCATGACAAATGTGTAAAGTGTGGCCTTACGATTGGTGTTGGGTGATCGTATATGTGGTCATCAGTAAAGACTGTCCTGTCGATGTACCCTGTGGCCCCTCCTGTACAGTTGTAGTGGGCCAGGTCAGACAGACCACCTGGGCCCAGGTAACCACTGGGGGGGAAACAAACATCTAGTTTTAATTTCAGGTTGGAAAAACTTCCCTATCGATTTTCTGGTAATCCTATTGAATTAAAATATTATCAACCGTATCTGAGGACAAAAATTGTGGTATCACTGATATAAAACGTAATGTATTGTTGGCTGGTTATAGTTATTTATGGGCAGTGCCAAAAATAAAAAGATGCCTCAAGTAGATTTTTTGGGGGGGCTATTTTAAACACAGATGTACCCTGTGGCCCCTCCGGTACAGTTGTAGTGGGCCAGGTCAGACAGACCACCTGGGCCCAGATAACCACTGTGGGAAACAAACAACTAGTTTTAATAAGGGCATCCAATGTGATTTCAGGGTGGCAAAACTGGACTTTCACAATCAAATTTCTGATCATTCTAAAGTTCAAGTTTAAGTTTAAGCCTTATCGGTAGTTCTAACATGAAAAGAAAAACTCACCTGTCAGTGATTAAACGTCAACCTTTTTCAGATGCTTCCAACTTCCAGAGAGTCAGCAAAGGGATCACACATCTGATGAAGTTTGACATGTTCAACCCAAAATTCATGGTGGGTTTTTCTTTTTGTGTTGGAACTAAGGCTTAAACTTTGTAATATGTTGGTTAGCTTGACGAATAAATCCACTCTACTGTATATCAAACAAACAGTACTCACGTAGGACAGTTGGGAACCTCCAGCCAGAACATCAGCACCAGATGTACCGTCACCAGTACCACCATGACCAGCCACTGGCCCCAGTAGTTCCATATTATATATACAAATGTACTGTATATGTGTGTTACTAAGTGGCTGAGACATTCTAAAGTAGAGTGGATTTATTCCTCAAGCCAACAGACATCTATCACACATCTGGAGCCGAATAGTCTTACTGAGGGATGACTGTTGTGTGCTACCGGTAGATGTTACAATGTAGTTAGCTTGAGGAATGAATCCACTCTACTAAGTACTATATATGAAACTTTGTTTGATATACAGTAGAATGGATTCATCCCTCATCAGACTATGCTTTGAAAATGGTCACTCACGGAGGACAGTTGGGGACTTGCAGCCAAAACGTCAGCACCAGGTGTACTGTCACCATGACGACCATAACCAGCCACTGGTGCCAGTAGTTTACAATGTCCCTCACAGGTGCGATTCTCGAGGTCTGTAATAGGTACAGGGACAGGTAGCCTTGGGGCTTCCAAGACTTTCACACACAAACATACAAGGGAAACAGGGGGTTAGTGTGGGGGAAACATGGGAGACATGGACCATACCACCACCACTGTACCACTGCAGTGTAGGGGTGTTCCTCTGGTGCAGGACAGCATGGGTTGATCATATTGAAAAGTGCAGTAAATTACAATCACATGAAGATTTTCCCATTCAAAATATTACATGTTACGTCATTTCTGTACCTCTGGTTTTCTCTTAAGTTTCTTTTTTCTCTTTTCTCCTTCTGTACAAATAATTATTGTAATTACAAATGGTGTCTTATAAGCCAGCATGGGCTGGGTCCATGTACATGTAGTGCATGACATGTTAATAAATCATTCATTCATTTGTTCATTCATTCATTTTGTTTGTTCATTCATTCATTCATTAATTAATTAATTCATTCATTCATTCATTCATTCATTCAGAAACTATGTGAAGGGAATGATGATGGTGTGAGAATATTTGTCAATGACAGGTCTCTTTCATTCCATAAAATTTCTCCATTAAATTTTCATCAAAGAACAGACACGGTACAACAGCACATACCCAGTTCCTGTCCTCTGCAGTAGCTCCCACCACCTCCAGCAGGGCGACGATGAAGTATGTCAGGGCAAGTCTCTGTAACACTCCCGGGATACGCAGGGTTGACCACGAGTTATCTAGGAGAGAAAATGCATCAGACATATTTCAGAGCTTGAAATACGTTTTTCTACACACCTGCATTGGTTCAACCATGGAGGTAGAGTTCAACTAATATTTAAAATCTCCTGCATCAGCAAACATCCTGCACTGCTCAGAATTTAGGAAGTATGGACCTAATCTATAGATTTAGAAACCAATGCGAATATTTGTTTTTTACATCATTGGTAGTAACACTTAGTCTAACAGTCAATGCAGCAAATAGTCACCCTTGGGAAAATGGGACCCTCTAAGATGCTAATGCATTGAGAGACACATTACCGGTAAAAGTAAAGCTTAATCTACCTAACATCTCTTTCTACATCATTATACGTTGTCCGTGATGAATGGTAAAATTTGGAAAGACGGATGCAGGCTAGAACACTCCATGAAAGCCTTTATCACAATGCTAAGTTGTGAATCTATTAGGATTGAAATATTGAGTACAAACTCACGTCCTCTCTTTGTGTTGATGATGAAGAGCCCCAGTAGAAACAGGATGACTGTCCTCTGTACGACCTTCCACAGCAGACTCAGTCTGGACACGCCTTTCTTCAGCAGTCTCCGGAACGACAGGGCGATAGACGTCCCCATTATAAACACAAACCTAGACAGAAAAGAGGGTAAATTGTTTTAAGCACAACCAGTGCTTCTCTGACGTTGCTGATGTTTTGGTGTCTATCAGACACCTTCCTCAGAGCTTCTGAACAGAGAGGGTATTGAAATTTTCTTGTAAACACCTTAAGTGCTTTAGCCTGTTTATCAGACCAATTTTAGCTCCTGAGTCTACATCCTCTCTGTATATAATTTTTGCACAAAAATAACAAGAACTGTGCTCACCAGGGAAAGACCAAGTCTGCTACTGTGAGGCCTAAATGGATGATAGGATAGGGTAAGCATTCCTGTTATCAAACTTAAAATACACATTTTAATTTATATTATTCCATTATATCAGAATACAAACCTTTGAAAAAAAAAGACAAAATTAGAGAAATCTGGCTATATGTGAATTTTGACACACAAATTATATAATTAATGTATGCACATAATGCGTGTTGTGTATCTAATAATTTTTTTTGTTGACTAATACAATTTTAGCCTTTAATGACCTTACCATTCCATCTGGCATGTTTGAAGAACCAGTATCCCCCTCCTCCATAGTTCACAAACACCATCACAGCTAAGGAAAGCCTGGAAAATACCAACCAGTTACAAACTTAAAAGTCATTAACCATTACCTGCTTAAAATTACAACCATTACAGTCTTTCATTTTACAGTTATATAACTATAAGTTCTATAGCTATTCAAATGCTTCCACAGGACTTGAAATACTGGGTGCATATGCAAGTTATGGAAGGTAAAATTGGAGCTGATGTCTGGTATTTCTGATGTCTACCTACGTATACCCCCAACAATGCAGTGGGTTTATATATTACTTGTGGGTGTTTTTGGTATGATCAATTCTTCCCAATTCCTGAATGCTGAAGGTAAAATTTATCTGGTGCAGGTAATTTCAATATTACCTGCACCAGCGCAAAAAATCCATACATGCATACATCATAAAACCAGTTTAAGGCCTGAGACAGGTTGAGCATACGTACCCCCTGAATGTGTCTAGTGACCTGAGTCTGCGCAGTCCCTGTGGAGCAGCCTGTGCAGTGGAGTCTGGCCCTGCCTGTCTCCTGTCTTCTGTACCCGTGGAGGACGGGCTGGGGGATCCTAGGTCCTACACATGGGGAAGGATAGGTATGTTAGAGTACAGACTTTCTATACTGGTAAGTATAGAAATCCTGATTGGAGTCTCTGGTATAACAGAAACTCTACCAACAGAAACTCTTATTGAAGTTTCTGTTGACAGAGACTCTGATCCTAGTCTCTGATCTTAGTTTCTGCCGATAGGGATACTGACCTGTCTCTGTCAAAGGGAAATCTGATCGTAGACTCTACCTATACAGATATCAATTGGAGTCTCTGTATGTTGTTACTGTTAGAGTTACAGTCTGTGATTCATATTCAATATCATACACATACAGCATTAATAAAATATAGGTAGGTTTCATGGAAAGCAGAGACAATGATATCAGTAGCAACCAGAGTTTCTGTAAAGAGACTCCAACAGAAATGTCTACCAGAAGAATTGCTGATTTTGCCCTGACATCACATATTATGCACATTGTGTATCTCACTGTGATTGTGAGCTATCCATTTTCCTGTTCTAGAAATTTGCCCGTCCCTAGTGACTAGAAATGGAACTGCAGGTGCAGAAGAGGTTATAGACTCAAACTTAAATTTGAAATTCAAAAAGTTAGTGACTAGTGACACATCACACTTACCGAATTCACCAATCTGTCTGTTTCTCTAAAAGGAAAATATCCAATAAACCAAGCATACTGGGACCTGGAATGGGGAAGGAAAAGAGATGATCAGTGCACAAAGTTTACATGGCACAAGTTTTAAACACCTGTTACACAGCTTTTACATGGCTTTCCATTGTGATTCAAATATGATTGACACAACTTTGCACAAGAACTAAGATAAAACCATGTGTAAAACGTGTGGGAAGGAAAGTTAATTATTGAAATCTGTACTACACAACTGTAAAATGTTAAAACCTAAAGTTTACATACCTGCCGATGGTGTAGTACAACTGTCTGACAGCCAAGAAGACCAGAAAAAGTCCCACATAAATGCAGAAGGCAACCAAGATGGCTGAAAATGACAAGATACTCACATTATAGTTCAATCAGTTTACAGTAGCTACAAAAGATTAGAGTCAATCTTCCTTTCCTGCATCATTGTCCAAGTGCAGGTATTTCTGATAATCTACCTGCATTTAACCTGTACTTAGCCTGACTAAATCGCGCTCCTGGCGGCCGCCGCCCTAGGTTGCCGCCCCCCAAAAGCTTGATGTCAAGCACGCGTAAAGCTGGCGGACTGTCGACGGCCCTGGTCCGCCATATATGGTTAATGAGATGCAAACGTCACGAACGGCCCTCAGACGGTGCGGCACCCAACAGAGATGGTTGCTATGGGCCTGTCGGTCGCTACCCAGTGATGGACGTCGGCGCGCCTTTCATGTCCCAAACTTGAAGTTTGGCCGAGGAAGGCACGGCCACCCGCTCGCGAGTCGAATCTGTTTCTATTTTCCAAAGTTTCTGGAACTTCCTCGTGGGAAATGGCAGCCACACCGAGAGAAAAGAATCTCATCCACGGATTTGTATTTGGCGTCACGATTTTCACTCGGCTATGTCCACATTTCGCATCTCTGATTAGTTGTAGCGTCCGCTTCCGGCAGCGCCGGCGGTATTGAAAATTGACCGAGCCGACGCGCGTGTAATCAACTTTTCTTTCTTCGATATAAGCGCTAAAATGCTATTTTCCACAACCACACATCGATATTCTAGTGAAGAAATGCATAGTTTCAAGAATCAGTCACGAAATTATATACTTCTATGCGGATTTTTAACGTTTTTCGTGCCATTTTGTCGTCGCTGAACCCGGAAGTGTGGACCTCGCTCTCGGCGTGAGTTTTCTTTTACCCACAAAGTAATTAATTTCTAGCGTATTTTACCCTGCGTTTTACCGATCAAAACAATAAACAACTCCCGCTGAGGAGAAGCCAGTAACATTTTAGATTCCAGCAATTATAAAGTATCGACAATTTGACAGGAGTCAACATCGTGGCACAAGAATCACAGTCGTCAACCCGCCGTTTTCGCTTGCTCTGCACTGTTTCACGATCTCGGTCTTCTCATAGCCGGTAGGAAGACACGAAAACACGTCGTTTCTCTGTTTAACAAAAAAATTGTATCGTCTATTCCTGAAGCGGCTCTAGGGGCCAGGGACTCCCAAAGTCCACACACACAGACTCCAGAATGCACAGAAACTCGGTTTCGGGCTAGTCGCAGCCATTTTTCTGAGAAATTCCCACCCGCAGTCGATCAAATTTCTCGTCCCCGCCCGGTACTCCGCCCTTCTCCGGCTGCCTGGCGCCGGCCCAGTCGGTTCCCACATTAATTCCTAATACTGGCTTCCTATTGGTGACTCCAGGAAAGGGAACGGGCCGCCCGACTTACAGCTATTCTGCCACAAGCTCTTGGGGTGGGGGTCATTAACCTCCAGCCGAGAGCTTGTGTATACACAGGCTAACCTGTACTGTTCCAAGTTGGTTTCTACATACAAGTGTATGTTAATCTTTATTGCTGCATTGACTGTTTCCACTGAGGGAGAATAAAAGAAATGGTTTATGAAAAATTTTTTTGTATGATCCATACTTCCTAAATTTAAGTTTTGCAGGTAAAACTTTTAAACACTGTAATTTTCAATGTTACCTGTACCAGAGCAGGTATGCAGAAAAAAGGATTTCTTAGCCTACAGTGTAATAGGAATCATTATAATGTAACATTTCTGTCTTAATACTTACGAATGTTGCTGTCCACAGGGTCTTTATCTGCGTATACTGGACAGTCGAATTTGTTTTCTTCGCTGGGTCCGTTGGGGTTGATGTGCATCTGGTACTCACCATGTTCTCCAAACAACTTGTCAAATCTGGGTGGAAGAATTACAAGAACATTTGGGCATTGCTACTCTGTTTCTTTGTGGCATTGAGTTACAGGCCAAATGGCTTAAGGCTAGCAGACACAAGATTGAGAGGTCATGGGTTCTAGACTTGTCATGTGGCTTCCCTGAAGTGTGACATCAACAAAGTTATCTGGTAAACGATGTCGGCCCCTGTTGCAATGGAGTGAAAGGTCTACTGTAGTACTGAGTCAGTCTGCTGAGGAAGACCAGAGTGACTGGTCAAAAGCTCTAGGCGAGAACAATTTCTCTTGTGTTAGATCAAAAGTTTTGTCTTTTATTCCGAAAAAAGATACACCATTGTAAAGTTACTGTACCCTACCTGCAGATGGAGTCATTTGTGCCGTCGTGGTTGTCTTTAACGATTGAAATGTGTGTCATGAAGGCTGTCTGTACCAGGAATGGGTCAGTCGGAATGCTGGGATCTACCTCCATCATGAAGGTCATATTGCACTGGAAAATACAACAAAAAAACAGGGTTTAAGTAAAGCCTAAGTCCTATCCACCTAATACTGAGGGCTGAAAATTTAGGGCCTGTGCAAAAAATCTGGGTGAAGAGGAAAATAGTATAAAGCATCTTTTCAGAACTTGAGTTTGGATTTGCTATAGAAATTAAAACTCATGATCAAGTTCAGAAAAGTATTGGGGTACACATGTAATAGTTACATTTCCCTTTTGCGTTGGAACAAAACTTTTACCTTTAAACATAAACTACAGATGAACTTTCGTGATAAAATTTAATATCATTTAATTAGACCTTACTAACCTTGTAACACTCGGCAGACACAGCCCATATCTGTACAGGGTAGTCCAGACTAGTGTTAACCTTAAGGATGGCTGTGTCCATCACTAGTCTAGGGGCGTCTGCGGTGCGGTGGTGATGATGTCTGCTGGTGGAGACTATGTGATTCTCTACTGATGATCTCTGCTGCTGATACTGAAAAATCTCTTCATCTGTTGGGGAATCTATTGCCTTTACTGGAACACAAAAGGAAAGAAGACTTGAAAAGGAAAAAAACTGTGGGGTCAGCCTAATGTTTTTCAAATCTAGCTTTTATTTGCATGCACTCAGGTTATCATACAAAACGGTGAGCTAAGAAAATTTGACAATCACGCTGCAATAGAGCTGTGTACCGGTACGCAGTACCGATACTGTACCGGAAAAAATTGATTAGGTACAGGTCCAAAATACCTAATCCCTCAGTACCGGTACTGTACCTAAACAATTTCACACCAATTTTATGCCTATTTGTGACCTCAAATGTTTAAATAGCTGGTTAACAATGGGTGCCTGTGTAAGGACAGTGTGTTCATGAAAACAAAAACATCTTAGTTTTGCCTATATTTTATCTGAGCATTCGCCATAAACAAAGAATAAACCTTAACTATCAAGTTTATTTATGTTTTTTTGTTATTGAAGGAGTTCAGAAGAGCATATAAATTGCAATTGGTCGAATTGTTCAGGTACAGGTTCAGGTCCGGACCTGTACCTAAACCTGTGTACCTGTACCTGTACCTGTACCTGTACCTAAAATTTGTTTAGGTACACAGCTCTACGCTGCAATCACTCAAATAATTTTTTTTATTAGCAAATTAACAATTTTATCTAACTACTAGTAGTATGTTGATTGTTGACCAAGTTACAGATATCAAATGAATGATCAACTTTACTAAAGATAAGTGTTGGTTAAAAAAACAACATCTCCAAAGACATTATGTATATGATCCATTCACATGCAAAAAAAAAAAGCAAAAACAGTGTTAGCTCACGCAATTTGCATATTAAACGTTTATTGAAAATACAAGCCCGAGTGCTAATTGCAAATACAAACAACATGTATGAGGTGTGAATGGTGGGTTAGGGGTGAAGCAAGGTGTTAGCAAACAAGGAATTGAACAATCTAACAATTACCATGCTTCAGTGCAATGCCATCATAATTACCTTCTAATTGATTCAGCCATCCTACAGTCACTGAAATGCAGGGGAAAGCGTCCATTGAAACCAGCACTATCATAAAGCTTTTATGATTGCATCAAATCATCATTGAGATCATAAATAATTTTTGCACTTCAAGAAATTTTCACACATACATGAGAAATGTCGGGATGGAAGCTGAGTTTCAGCCCAGAGCAGGAATACAACTGGCAAAAAATTGCATAGGCTTCAATACTTACGTATAGATTTCATTGGATTTTGAATCGTACTTTGTAACATAATGATTGTAAACGAATGCAGAAAAACAAGCCTCTGCCACACACCCAAATTCGCTCAGGTCAAGAAAAAGTCTAATTTCTTTGAGACATGAATCGAAGCCTTAGGTCATTAAGTAAATTTTGCTTCGTTAGCGAGCTCTAGAGATACATATATAACTTGGGAAGATACACATTTATGCAACGTTAGTACAGATAATTTTATGATACCAAGGCGTCCTCTTCCAGTTGCAACAAGTACAGCTTAATTTTCAACGATCCAGCCACTTCTGTGGAACGAAAAGCTTGTGCTTGCTTCAGAAATATGTAAATATTTCCCCAGATGTCAGAAATTCTGTGGAAAACTCACCTGTTGAGAAGAAAGTGAAGAAAAACAGTAGCTTGCCGACAGCTCTGACCGATACGGCCGCCATCTTGTCAACATCATATGACTTCCCGGATGGACGAGCGCACTGACACGAGAGGGGTGTTTTTCCGCTTTTAAATCCAGTGATCAGACAATATGTTTAGGCATGTGCAAACGGTTCTAAATTTCAAAGCATATCATTTGGCAAATTATGTTATTTTTACAATCAGCTAAGATATATTTTTACACTCAACTGCATATATTGAATTCAATTGAGTGTAAAAATAACATTATTTGTCAAACATATCAGTTTTCCAAACTGACCTATCAAACGTGTTGTCCAGATTGTATCAGGATGATGAGTTGACAATAGAGGGATAGAAACAATGGATGTCACTCAGCAGGGGTCTGGCAACCTTCTTAGGATGTGTCAATAATTTATTGTCTGCATGTAAAATAACGTACTAGTAGCCTCTACCAGATCCTAGCCTCTACTAGGCTTGGGGAGGCGGCTGGAAAGAGTAGAAATCGGCCAAATAGAGAGATAAGCATGCCAAGGGAGTTTGTCCGTTGAGAGAACAGGGGTGCGGCGAACTGTTCTCTCAACGGACAAACTCCCCTGGCATGCTTATCTCTTTATTTGGCCGATTTCTACTCTTTCCAGCCACCTCCTCAAGCCTGGTAGAGGCTAACCAGATCCTACCAGGCTTTGGAAACAGTTGGAAAGTGTAGAAAATTGAGAACTGCTTTGTAGATTTACTCTCACTCAATCTTACATGATTTACAGTACTAGTATGGTTAAAAACCTTCTTTTTGTGGAAGCACAGATGTCATCCATATGTCAACCTCCTTGATATAATCAAATCAACATGGTCTTATAACTCAATAAAAAAGAACCACAATAACAACATTGAATGTGAGCAAAATAGACTTTATTGTCACCAACAAAAAACAAAACTCACAGTCTGTGGCACAGTTAATTTTTGTTGGAATGTCTATATTCATTGTCTAAAATATGTACTACATCTAGTTGTAGTTTACTCAAATCATGATTTTACTGTGCACATTTTCTGAACAACCCTGGCTTGTACGAACCAAGACATGATTAATTAAAGTGGTCCTACAATACTTTAAGGTTACTAGTATCTCTGAGTCAGTATTGTTATCTGTTGTTTAAAGAATTGAAGACATTGCAATTCTGTAATATTACTAGTACTACATGTGTATATGTACATATACATGAACCTCTACTGGGCTTGAAAGCTGTGGAGATGGAGTCACATGTGCTTGTAACAGTTAGTGATATACTTCATGTACATGGTGTATTTCTTAAGTACAAGTACATGAATAGAAAAGCTGCCATGACAACATCTTTCACAACTGGTTTCTAAAGAAGAAATAATGAGCAGTTTCCTTGTTGCAGATCAGAAGTGTTACTAGTATTAAGATTACACCTAAGTCTAAACTCTGCCCCTGCCCCCCACCCACCTAACCATCTACTCACTCTGACATACAGATAGCTGTACCCATTAGCCAAGGTTCACAACAAAACTGTACCAAGCAGTCATTACTACAAATTTCAAACTAACTGTAGAGGTAAAGAAGATATCTAAGAGGAAGGAAATAGTAGTGTATCTGTTTGCTGGTCCTCCTCTTGGTTTAGATGGATGGATGTGCCATTCTCTATATATTGTGATATATATGTACAGTCCTTCAAAACAAAACTGTACCAAGCAGTCACTACTACAAATTTTAAACTAACTGTAGATGTAAAGAAGATACTAGTATCTAAGAGGTAGGAAAGAGTAGTGGGTCTGTTAGCTGGTCCTCCTCTTGGTTTAGATGTATGGAAGTGCCGTTTTCTATGTGATACAGCCCTTCAGCCAGTGTGTACTCCACCATGGACTCCTGAGCAGCCGCTGACATCTGGGAGTGGAACAACCAAACAGGTTTGAAAAGTAAGAAAAGAACCCAAAATCCAGGCTTTCCAATAAAAATACTGCATAACATATATCCTACAAGAGTTAGGTTATATAAGCAAGGTCTTTCAGACAATGATACTAGTAACTATCAGTCATGCTACATGTATATGGTTGATTTTGTTGAACACTTCTTTTATACATAGGTAAGGCTGTCAAATATAAAGCTTCACAACATTAAAATTTTTTTGTTTAATCAACATTAATCAACTAATACTACAAAATTAATGTACATGTACTTGCTAAGTATATGATCTGTAACAGAAATAAATGGGAAAGAAAATTGCGCCAAAATTTTATTTCCAACTTTTTTTTCAAGGCTGGAGGAAAAATTGTATTAAAATTTTCAAACTTACAGGTTGGTAGCTGCTGGGGTCCAGGTCCTTTGGTGGAAATTTGAAGTCAGGTCCAAAGTTCACAGTCACCTGTGAAGGTACAAATGGAAGGGCTTGTGTCACTTATGTTTGTACTGGTTGAGTGTTATAGCCAGTATCCATCTTTCCGTTATTTGATAGAATTCTACCACTCAAGTCATGACAGACAAAAAATTATGCCCAATCCGTCATCTTTGACATACAAAAATTGGCATGTATTGTAAAGATATGGAAAGAGATGTCATTAAATTAAGCTTTATTAAGCTCTAAGTCTCCCAGCAAAATTTGCCCCTCAAAATGCAGGAAATAGTCTAGGACTTTCAAATGTTTGCAAATTTTCTAAAATTGAGGTGACAAAAAAAATTAAAGGTTAAGCAGGCTAAACATATTAAACATTGTCTAAGGCTCATACATGTAGTTGTTCTTACCATGACGTTCTTGTAGAGTGAGATGGCAGGATAGTAAGTCCCTGAGTAGATATCCTCCCATGCTGTCCCCTGGCTCTCTCCATTCTTGTAGTACACAATCTGCCAGACAAATGCACAGAACTTCAACATTCTTGCAAACATGTCAAATGATAACCACTTGAGCAACAGGCTCCATTAGTATAATACATTGTAGCAATGTTATTTTACAAAGCTGGTATTGTGTAGTTGTGGTAGTACATAGATACTTGTATGAAAAGCTGGCACATGCGGCATTTTGCGGCATTTATGAGTTGGCACTGTACTGAGTTCTTGTGTTCTGTGGAGCTTCAGTAGCCTGGGCACCATCCTCTGTAGTTACCACCAGCTCCATATTGTCGCTAGCTGGACTACAGAAGATGGCACCCAGGCTAGAGCCTCAAAGGATGTGATTTTTTTTAGGTGAAAATCAATGAGCGCTCAGATGTCATCCATAAAATTAAATCAGTGTGTCCTAATAATCAGCAACTAGAGGTGACTAATTCCTGTAAAACTGTTAAACTCTACAGAACTACAGTGGATAAAGTATGAAGATTACTTCCATCTCAAGTGACATCCATTGCTCTTATTCAGTGTCACTGAATAATAAGTGTAAAATGAACTGACAAAATAGTAAACACGTATCACAAAAACTGGAAGTTCTGCTGCAGTAACAAGTTCAGCCACCAGGAGGCCCAGATTTGACCTTGACCTTTGCCTTCCTAAGAACTACCAACATACCAAATATTATCACAATCCATAAAGGCATTCTGAAGTTATGCTGACCACAAGTATGCAGAAACACACACACAGACATGCTGAAAACAATACCTCCACGACTAGTTGCCGTACCTTGCTCCCTTCCTGAGGTGTGAGGTTCTTCAGAGCAGCGTCCTGAAGTTATGCTGACCACAAGTATGCGGAAACACAGACACACACACACAGACAGGCCGAAAACAAGACCTAGTACATGTATACTTTTTCATATAGGTAACTAGAGGTGACTAGTTGCTGTACCTTGCTCCCTTCCTGAGGTGTGAGGTTCTTGAGTGCAGCGTCCTGAAGTTATGCTGACCACAAGTATGCGGAAACACAGACACACACACACAGACAGGCCGAAAACAAGACCTAGTACATGTATACTTTTTCATATAGGTAACTAGAGGTGACTAGTTGCCGTACCTTGCTCCCTTCCTGAGGTGTGAGGTTCTTGAGTGCAGCGTCCATGTTGTCTCTCTCTTCAAAGTACAGGTAACCTTTGAACTTTATCAGGGGCTGGAAAAGGATTGTGGGAAACATCAGCATCATCAATGCTGAACAGGAAGACATCAACTGACTTATTCAAAACTAACTGATTCAGAGGTAAGGTGCAAGCACATTGTATATATTAGGATTCCGTATTCTGACAGGCCGGCCAAGATTGGAGATCTTTGCTCTATTTTCAGACTTGGACCTATAGTGTGGCTATCTATATCACATACCTACACCTGATTACGTGAATATCTGCACATGTATTACACAATAAATTAATGTGATTTAAAGGAGTCTGGGAGTGCTTTCTTTGCTTTTACTCATGTTTTTCACGACTTTTGATTGCAATTTGCATGGGACAGGGTTCATTCACACACTAGAAAATTGACTTTGAAAATCCAGTTTTACAGTGCCCTGAAATCAATAAGAAATTCAGTTTGGAAATCAAGTTTTAAAGTGCCCTGAAATCACTAGGAAATTGACTTTGAAGATCCAGCTTTACTACCCTGAAATCACTGCTCCAAAAGAAAACCATCCTTACAGTTTCCTTGTGAGTTTCTGGCAGCAGTGCGCCGGGTGCTGAGCTCTCCGGTAGTGAGATATAGAACCCCAGCACATCGCCCTGTCCGTACCCCTCGCTGTAGTGCTTCCCCCGACTCTGGTGGAACCTCGTCCCCTTCCTGCTGCGCCACGAGTACCCAAACCGGTCGTAACCGAGAGGGGCCTGGAGATTTCCTGCAGGAGAAGATGTGGTTAAAGGGTTGTTGAGACAGACTTGAAACCTAAAGGTTCTGGGTTCAAATCCCTTGCAGGCTGTTTGAGGAGAACAACACATTGAGCATGAAAAAGGTAGGGAACCGATCCATCCTGGAGTGGTTCAAATCTTACACCACGAGTACCCAAACCGATCGTACCCCAGAGGGGCCTGGAGGTTTCCTGCAGGAGGAAGTGGAAAGGTGTTCTTGTGGTTTGAGGGTTGTTGAATTCAAATCTAAAGGTTCTGGGTTCAAATCCCTGGCTGCCCCCAAAGTTGTGTCCTTGGAAGTTTGAACTTTACATAATGGAGTACCCAAACCGGTCGTAACCAAGAGGGGCCTGGAGATTTCCTGCACGAAAAGGCGGAAAGGTGTTCTTGTGGTTTGGGTTGTTGGATTCAAATCTAAAAGTTTTGGGTTCAAATCCCGGGGAGCCCTACACCTATTTCTTGTTAATATGAGTACCTAGCTCCAGTTAGGGATGTCGTCTTCTGGTTGGAGGTCCCATGTCCCAAGTTTTTAATCCCACCACACTTATCGAAGAAAGTAGAGATCCATCCGTGGTTCAAACATTACAGTCTGGTATGTTGACGAGTAGTAATGTGATACACAAGAAAACTGTTGGACAATCTATCCAGTTGCTTGACCTACAGTCTGGTCTCAGGGTTAACATCTTGTTAAGGTGATAGCCACCTGTTATGTCAATCCTTCCACAAAGTGTTGTATATCTCAATAAATGAATAAATGGTAAAAAAACATACCTAAAGCCTGTCCCCAGCCCAGTCTTGTGGCCGTCCCTTCTGGCATTTCCTCGATGTTAACCTCAAAGTACCAGGCTCCACGGTTGACTCCATGAGTAGCTCTGACCATGGAGTAGCCTTTCTCTCCAGTCACCGACAGTCTGTCTTCAGAAATCTTCAACTGGGGAGCTGACAACACAAAACATTAAATGAAGATTAAGACCTACAGTTATGGCGTTACAGTAGTATTCAGAAATTTTTCAACTTTTTTTTTCTAGTTCTAGTATTAGTATTACTACCAGCCACTGACGAAAAGTAGTGGATGCTATATAATTTTTATACAGTTTTCAAAATCTATCCAGATTTTTAAGTAACTGTTTTCTTGAAGTGTATCTAACTAGCAGTGGATGTCTAACCTTCATCAATGTATTCTGTTACTGTAACAGTATTATTGTATAATTCATGATCAGTGCATTAGCTGTATATTTTTTGACGACTTATCTTATTCACCTAACAATGCCCTCATTCTTTTAATTTTTTCTTTGAAAAATAGAAAAAAAAAAAACTTTGATTAGTTCAGGTGGAGTGACTATATCTCTATGTCTATCACCTCTGTCGTGCAGGGCCAGTAGAACTCGATCATGCAGCGCTCTGCGGTACAGCTCTGCTGGGATGGGTTTCCCAGCGTAGAAGTCTGTATCCAGTAGCTGGTGCGGCGCGTGGGGGTCAGGCTCGGCCAGGATGTAGCGATATCCGTCCTTGTTGAAGGGGTGCTCCTGAGGGAAGCCCAGCGGAGGCAGCTTCAGGGACGTCAGGATGTCCCTGATTTGAAAAAAAATGATTTCATGAGATTTCCTGAATTGTTTGTTTTATTATGATAGCATGAAAGTTCATCTGTGTTGGTAGTTACATGTTTAAGGTTAAAACTGAGGAAGACCAGAGTGACTGGTTGAAAGCTCTAGGTGAGAGAACTTCTTTGTGTTGGATCAAAAGTTTTAACCTTAAACATGCTTTATTATGAATCTGATGTAGTGTTGCCGATCTGGTTTATATTGAGATTGAAAATGTCAAATCAGATTATACGGGACTGAAACCATAATATCTAGTATGTATTCATTTGATAGCTCAAAACATTGACTTTGAATACTGCACACTGCAGCTGTTTTAAGACAATACAACTCATCCTTTCTAATATATATACATGTAATTGACTTTCTCTGATAACAGAAAGACATTGCTGAATTTAAGGGTCATAACTGTTATGACTTTTTGTTGCAAAATGTTGAGACAATTCATGACCAGTCCAGAAAAGTTTGCTTATTATAATAAGCCAACAGAGCTGAAACTCATTCAAAATGCAGTAACACAAGCAGGTGAGATGTTCACATGCACCAATCAGCACTACAGTAACTGTAGTAACAGGAGCCTACATGTAGCAGTGCAGGCAATGACATCACAAGGTGCCAAGCTGTAAGTTATGATGCAAAGCAGTTAAACATAAATGTGGCAACAATGCCTGCAATGCGAAGTGATCAGACAGGTACACTAGTATTGCCCATGCATCTTTCCTTGGTACAGATAGGGACTCTCCTCTGGTTGTTTGTGCAACATGACAGAATGGCAAGCATTGAACCTTGTATTTCAGGTATCCATCCTATTAAACCTGAACCAGTAAGATTTTGGGTACCAAGGTACAAAATGGAATTCTACTCGTGCATCTCCAATACCCACTGTCTGGGTGCAGAAGATTTTGGAACATGCCCCACTTCCTACAGAGACCCCCACTACAGGTTAACACAGACAAATGCATGAAGCTGTATGAGGGGAGATCAACAAGTTCTTGGTCTCAATAATGCAATCCAAGTTGTTTCTGGAAGAAGCCAAGAACTTCTAGAAACCCCTGGTAGCAGGTGTAAGAATGTCCAGGCTACAGAAGTGAGCAGGTGTCACCTGTTGGGAATTAGGTGCCTGGTCCCAGGAAACACACTGTCAAAACGAAACACAGTCACATATTTAAACAGGATTCTCAGGACTTTCTGCTCACTTAGCTACACATCAAACTTATCCCTCTAAGGCCACATATAAGTCACACAAGTCATGATACTGACTTACCGGTAAGATTATTTTTTTTTCTTAGACTAGGATAAAAAGATGAAAGACTGAATGTTGTGTAGATACTGGGTATATATTCTATACGGTCGACTGATGATAATAATGATTGAAGTGCAAAATCCTGAGTACTGTTGATCTTTCTTTTTTCTTGAAAAATAGCATACTTTTCCGTTAGATATACTACATGTAAAACAGTTTACGATAAACAATCTTGTGTATCCAAGAGTATCAATACCGCAAGTGAAAATAAATCATCATGTTGACACTCTTAAAACTCACCCGCGTGTTCTCTTACTGGCTGTTGTTGACTGTGTGTTTTCCACAGCCTTTCGCTTGGCTCCTCGACCCTTCCCTGCTGCTGCCAGGGAACCCATTCCTGAAATATAACACAAGGTATTTTCTAATTGTATATGTTCATTTTTTTTTGCCATTTCATAACAAATTTTCAAAGACAACCTCTTGTTATACCATTATCCTGCTGCATTCACGTATTTACTACAAAATGTATTTTTTATCTGTCCATCCATCTGTCCCTCCATATATCCTTCCATCCATCCATCCATCCATCCAACCATCCATCCATCCATCCATCCATCCACCCACCCATCCATCCATCCATTCAAAACCCATCCATCCATCCATCCATCCATCCATCCATCCATCCATCCTTCCACCCACCCACCCAACCATTTATCCATCCATCCATCCATCCATCCATCCATCCACACACCCATCCATCCACCATCCATCCACCCACCCATTCATTCATTCTGTCACTCCCTGTTCGTGATCCCCACCGTTCTGAGAAGAAGACAGTGATGATGCCAGCTTCTGTCCGTTCTCCCTCATGCTGCTGCTCAGCTTCTGCGAGTCGATGTTGGGGCCAATTCTCGACAAGTCCTGCAGACAAATAACAACAGAGCCATGTCCATTATGTCAGAGCTCGAAATCCTTTCTTCTGCATACACTGAAAATTACCTGCACCAGACAAATTTTATCTGCACCACTTAGACTTTGAGTAGGACCATAATCAATTGTAAAAAATAAACATTAGAATATGTAGTATAGATTACATAGCAGACTGTGGAATGAAAACAGCAAGGCCTTTTTAACAACATTGAATAACAACTCTAAGTCACCATGAAATCACCATATTTGAAACACATTTTCCACACATCTCAAAAATGCACTCTGTATATATTGTGTCTCATAGAAATAATGGAACTGTACAGTAACATAAAGTACTAAATTTAATATTCTTTCATTTTCCTTGGAATAAAATGATAGAACAGCTTGAAGAATAACAAGAAGCCATAGGCGACAATTCTCCGTGAAGTATTATATATTGCAACAAAAAGAAGTAGCCATTGGCGACAATTCTCTGTGAAGTGTGATAAATCGAACAAAGAAAAATTGTTTAAACGCGCGTCGGCTCAGTCATCTTAAGACGCAACAACCAATCAGAGATGCGAGATGCCTACACGTGACGCGGGAAGGGCGCGCGATGCCCGAAATATTTTTGCGTCAATATTCAGCGCCGTGATTCAAGAGATTAATACCCGGAAACAATTTTTTTTCTTGTTTTGAACGCATTAACATGCATTTACGCTAATCTAGTATGATTCAGGGTTACTTTTTTTTAACCTGCCATGGCCAGATTATCTAAAGATGTGTGTATTGTGTGTACAATCTATAGAAAGAGAAATGTACATCAGGTCCGATCATCCGATTTTCACGTTTCGGTTTTTTGGACTCGGTTCATGAACGTATTTTGGTTTGGCTCCTGGAATGTGCAAAAAAATGACTCCCGGGACTGTCTACAGGGAACACTCGCACATTCGCGGTGTATCAGGACAGCGCGACTGGTCGTCATTAGCGCAGTAACAGTTGCATAAACGGACGAAACCATTTCAAAGAAATGGGGATGTTTCGAAAATAAGCATTTACTCCAATATCAAAACAGCTACGGTAAAAATAAAAAGACGTGCATCATCCCGGACATAATGCAACACCACATGCGAAATTACACAGAAATGCGACGTACGGAAGAATGCGTTTTGGCTGCGAACATCTTCCAAAAAACTTGGCATCTCTTAACCATGGGCAAAAACATCTGGAACCACTTATAAAAAACACCCCGTATCTGCATGAACTTTTTTGAACCCCACTGCTATTCCAAACAACGCGTTTTTCTGGACCATTCCAATTCGCCTCGTAATTGTAGGGGTGCGTCTGCGATATTACATTGACCGCGAAAGCAGCAACGGCAAAAATACACATTCGTGCATCAACACGGGCATGCCCGCAGACGGCGTATAAAATTGCGTGCCGATTACACAAAGAGAACCCAGTGTTTTGACTGCGAACATGAAAAATCAGCCGATTACAACACTCCGTCCGGAGGTCCTGACCTCCTTCACGGAGTAATAACCTTTATACATCATAGTTACAGACATTCAAACATAAATGATTTGTTTTGACAGACTGTACCTTGAATTGAAAGCAAGCCATGAAAAACACACCAATTACAGCTTCAGTAGCAAGTATGATTAATTAGCACATTATAGTAAAAATATGATGAACATTCTTGTCAACATACGTTACGGGATTTCATGCACCACATTCATTGTTTAATCTTAATTTTGCATATTAAATTTAGGAAACTGCTTAGAGAATAAGAATCAAAATACAGAAATCTACCAGGACATTTCTAATAGCTATGTTACATGTAATTGTATCATAGACAGCTACAGTCTGAAAACATTATTTACCTCAGTACTGTTATACATGGTCCAGACATAGGTGGCTATTCATAACACACGTACTCCATACAAGACGAATAACATTATAACCTTAGGAAGATACCAACTGTCTGAGAAAGGGGGGGGGTAGGATATACTATGCTGTTTTCTTCCTTATATAACAATTTCATGCATATAACACTGTTACAGTTAAGTGAGTGTTAACTTACTTACTGTTATATACATTACATACATGTAAGACAGTATTGTCCATATAGCAAAATTCCTTGTATTTATAGTCTCTTTCTTCTTTCTTTCTCTGCTTTCCCTTTGATCAAACTTGTCAAATATGGTCTCTTCTATGTTACATATGTCTAGACCTTAGAAATTGTGGCATCACACACACCACATTTCTGGCAATCAGACAACCAAACAATCCTTTTTAAAGGTCTCCAATACAATTTTGGGAGAGCGTGACACAAAATATTGTGGATGAGGAAATCCATCTGATATTGGCATTTACTGCTGCAATTTCTTGCACATGTTTGGCATCATTTCATACAAGAAACATTTGAAGTAGCCTCAAACAAGTGCAGAGTCTCAAGAGGCTAGATCTACTAGACTAATATTTCAAACTGCAGATTTTCTATTAAACTGTCCAATATTTAGGCCAAGAGTCAATTCCAACACATCTGACCTTGTAACCATGCTAAAAAAGTACAAGTATGTAACTTCACAAATAAACAACGTAAATCAAGGTCTCACTAAATTTCTCCAATGTCTTGAATCTCTAGACTATTTCCTTCCCCTGAATTCTGCTGCAAACGAAAAGGAAGTCACAAAATACATGTAGCCAGACCCCACAGGAATGGCACTCGACAGGGACCTACCATTCAAGCAGAAAGGAGGGGAGGAAAGCTTCAAGATTATCATTTTTTTAGACATTTAGCTGATCAATCTAGAAATCATTTCTCAGTGTAACAGCAGACAGAATTCTCCATTCTTCCATGCTGTTGGTTCAAGCTGTTGACCTACTTTGGCTCTTGTTGTTAACCTATTAAAGAAAACACATTCCAGGCTGGTGCTATTCAAACACTATAGATTTCCCTTCGACTACTCTGTATTAGGATCAAGCATTTAGCCCCAAAGGTTCAGGGGGCAGATGAAACCATTTTGAGGAAATTGTCAGTTTCAGGTTAATTCATGCATATCAGTTAAAGCAAAGAAATTAAAACCTAACATATCCATCGGCTCAGTTAAATCAAAGAAACTTGTTACATTTTTCACAGAACTACATGTATGTGGCATAATATCTCTCTTACACTACAGTATATAACAAGTAACAAGTAATAATGACCTAGCTAAAATATTATGCAGTGTATGTGAGCTGACTTTTAGTTTTTATCCAACAGTACAATTTTCTAACCTTTGTCTAATCATTTTCTAAGTTCAAGTTCAAGAAAGTAAGCTCTTACAGCAATTAAGATGCAGTCTTAATGTGATACCATATATGCATGCTGACACCCTTATTAAGGGCCTTAATGGTTGTTTCAGTGCATGGGATCATTAAAACTGTCCTTTTAGCACATCCCTGCATTTTCCACATAAACCGACCAAGGCCCTTTTACAGGAAATTTAAATTTGGCTGCACCAGTACAGGTAAATACGGTAAAAATAGCTGCACATTTATCCTTAGTATCTGGGACTGGGGTACTGACATTTTCACACATTATTCTACTAGCATGTCTTTAGAAATGCCCAGAGTATCTGGGCCTGGATTGTTGACAACCATAATTACACTCTAGAAAATCCTTAGGATGATACTATACATAATGGTAAAAGCAAAAAAGATCATGCAAATTCACAAACTGAATGTGTCGCTCTACCATCTCAAACCACCTCCAGACAATCCTTCTTAACTTACCATCCAGATTCCAGATCCGTTACTAGTAGGTTAGATGTGGCTGACACCAGTAAAAGTGCCCGTTAAACGCTAACGATCTCAGATGACAATCATGGATATAAACAAGCTGACAGAAGGTACAGACAGACACATCCACTGGTAGCACAGACCACACCCACTGCTGCTGTTATCCAGTCTCTGTGACCCTCACCAAGCGTGGGCTGGTGCCAATTGTATGGTAACTTGGGGAGGACTCATTTTGTACATAGACCAGGGTTGAAATAATAATTGTCTTTGGCTCGAAATAGTTTTTTCTGCATGGTATTACCTGCACTGGTGCAGGCTACACTGAAAATTACCTGCACCAGATAAATTCTACCTGGACCACTCATGAGAATTTAGGTATGGATCATACTAAAAATGTTGTCTTCCTTAAATGCAATGTAACACAGAAAATGTTATGATATGACATACTGAAACAACAATAACATACATGTATAGAAACAACACTCAAACAGCATGCAACAAGACAAGCATGGTTAAATGCCAGTAAATGAAAAATACTAATTTGTCTGCTAAAAACTGTGACATATTATGATTCAGCAATCTTCACCACACCTACAGTATACTGTGTTTTTGTACAATGTATATTGAAGTGTGAGAACTGCGGCAGAGACTGTCACTCACGAATAGGACTGTTTAGCCATAGTAGATACTGTAGATAGATGTTAAGTAGGTTTACCATGGTCAGTATTGACCGACGGAGGCCATATATATATTGAAGCTGAAGACATTATCCCAATATTTCCTAGAATTATACAGAGTTCCTGGAAAACTGAACCAATGTAAATGTTTGCCTCAGCAACATACAGGCAATGCACGTATATAATTTAGCAAGCAATTGCTAAAACAGGCTCGTCCTTTTGAATCCTTAGACTCAGAGTATTTGATTAATCCTTTGTAAGATTATTTTTGGAGTTTCCTTTCAATTCCCCTTAGATGGGGGCCCGCAAGCCCTTTTCTGTACAGCATAATCGGCCGTTTTAATTCTACGTAGAGCGTAGACGGACCGCTTTGATATTTTTGCATAGAGCGTATTCGGCATTTTAATTCTACGTAATGCGTTGTAGCCACTTGGAATTTATTGTAAAGCGTAATCAAGAGGTTTCCGAATTCAGCGTAGAGCGTTGTCGGGACCCCCCCTTGCAGGCCCTCTTAGATCTAGAATCTAGCTAGTCCTCCACATGAAAGATCCT